TGGCATCGGCGAGCTCCACATTGCCGGCTCGGCCAATTTGGGGATTATGGTAGTGTAGAGATCATTTGGGGGCGTTCAGAATCATCCAGAACCCTTCTAAATCCCGCCGAGTAGAGAGTAAACTATGTAGCATGGCGTAGTATTCTCAACTACTCACAGCGGGGGCGCTCCGAACCTCGTGTGCTCCGGAATTGGATGGCGTTCATAGACGGGAATACTGGCGCCGCGCATCCACTCAGGCAATGCATAAGAACTAACACTCGGCGTATTCTCTCATGACGGATGAACGCGAATGACCCTCTTATCCATACGACGCTACGAAATGAGCCTGTCATTGAAGAGTACACACCCTGCAAGCTGGCAGAGGTCCCGAGGTCGGTGAGTTCCATTTGCGCGCTCTCCAAAACTTATACGAGGTTCACTGCCGATCACCACGGCCCTTTGTTCCCCACCTGTTCTGAAGTCCTTTGGTTGGGACTAAATGAGCATTACAAGTTAGCCCGGTATGTAATAATATCACAGAGTGATAACTCAAGTCGTCGGATGATCGAGGTCCGCTATGCGTCCTCTCTTGCCTCATGTCCCCTCTCGTATTGTCGTTTAGATATCAGAAATAGACCCTGCAAAATTGCCAGAGTGGATAAATTCAAAACGAGGCATTAAGTAGGTCCCTTCAAGTATCAAACATGGCATCCGCGGACTGTAATGATACATGGTTCTACCTACAACATCAACTGGCAATAAACAGGCGCTGTCTATAGGGTAGCACGGCCACCGAGAATTCAGATTCACAGCAGCCTCACAGCCTGCTCTTCCCACCACCCAAGTATGTTCCTCCCAACTGAAGCATGCCTACGGCCTCCTGGACCATCTCCTCCACAATCTCACCAGCTGGCTGAACCTTCTTTATCGACCCAGCCACCTGGCCCATGAGGTGTGGCAGATCAATGTCCTTGCCGTCGTCAAAGTCCTTCTCAATGGGCACGATGCCCTTGTCGCAGAGCTCCTTGATCTCCTGCGGCCGCGAGTGCCAGTCCCGGATGTAGTCGTTCAGCTTCAGCCTCAGCGGCCGGCCGGAGACCACGAGCGTCCTGTCCGTCTCGTCGTACCCGCACGACACGACCTCCTCCTTGTGCTGCTCGCTGCACCCGGCCTCGGCCGACGCGACGAACCGCGTGCCAACCCACACGCCCACGGCCCCTTGCATCAGGGAGCTGGCCAGCCCGCGGCCGTTGGCGATGCCGCCTGCCGCCACGACCAGCGCGGTCGAGCCCTTGAGCATCGGGGGCCTGTAGTTGCGCGCCACGTCCACCACGGCGGGGATCAGCACCGAGTTGGCAATGTTGCCCGTGTGGCCGCCGCCCTCTCCGCCCTGCGGGCACACGATGTCGACGCCCAGGTCCAGCGCCTTGACGGCGTGCTTGGGGTGCCCGACCATGTTCATGACCAGGATGCCCGCCCCGTGCAGCCTGTCGATGACGTGCTTGGGCGGCACGCCCACCGCGGAGACGAAGAGGACCGCGCCGCTCTCGACGGTGATGTCGATGAGCTCCTCGAGCTTGCCGTTGGTGTAGTCGTGGTTGGTCTTGCGGGCGCTGCCGCCGACCTGGGGCAGCGCCAGGTCCACGCCGAAGGGCAGGCCGGGCCGCTTGAACTTGGACTTCATCTCGGCGATGATCTCGCGCAGCTGGTCCGGCGTGTACATGAAGCCGCCGATGACGCCGAGGCCGCCCGCGTTGGAGACGGCGGCGGCCAGCGCCCCGCCAGATGTCCGGGCCATGCCGGCCAGGACGATGGGGTGCTGGATGCCCAGGAGGGTCGTCAGCGGTGTGGTGATGGGGCCGGCCATTGTGAAGCGATGAGCTGGCTGCTCAAGGTGGCGTGAGAATGCTGTGTGAGTACCCTCGTCGATCTGCTGACTTCTGCTGTCTGGGGTGTTGTCGCTGCCAAATAGACGGTGAAGGCTGTGGTAGTGAGCGGTGACCAGACGGAGCCCTATAGTTGAAGAAAAGAGGTAGGAAATCGAGAAATGGGATTGTTTACATCTTATTGTCTTTAAAAAATAGGATGCCTGGCTGGAATATATCTAGATATTGGGGAACAACCGCGGCCTCGGCAGGGAGAGCTTATAGTTAGTTGTGGGGTAGGAAAACGCGGGGGAATTGGAGTTTGGAGGTAGACCGAGGCACTTCCTACTGAGGACACCAGCTCGTAGTACCATTTTGCTCACAGAGCGCCCTTGTAAGACATGGGACGCGTTAGGATCTATTCGCAGTATCAATGGATTCTAGCGACCAAATGCTCGCGCTTTTCATTTATTCGCTTTGTTGTCTGTACTGATACTGTTGGAGTTTGCCACTACCTAGATATGATTACACTGGCAAGGAACTCGCTGAGATATATAGTAGGATTTGTCACGAACGACCTCTCCCTTACAGCCAACAGTATTTCATCAACGTTATCATTAGCTTGGTATCTTCTAACCGCCGAGAACAACACCACATATTACATCTTACAACATGCGTGAGTCGATCTAGTAAACTCATTAAAACCAATTGAAACCCCACCTGATACAGTTCCTTCTGCACCTGGGTCAATGGTTGGTCCCATAATTAGAAAAATGGCAATCTTGCCGGGACAAATTCTTTCGTAGGAGGGCGTTTTGGGTCTTCAGTGGACCCCACTGGGGATGCTGTTTCAAGTCTCGAATCTGGTCCAGATGTCCCGTCTTCTATAGTCGAACGCTGTTCGGATAATCCAGCACTTTCGGCCGATCGCGGCGATGGGGGTATTTCGATTTCGTCAACCTCGTCGGGTGTCACTTCTGGCTTCATCTCTTCTTCTGTCTGTTCCTCGAGGCTCGATTGGTGTAGGCCTCGAGCTAAGGCTAGCTCCGTTGCAGCCTCTTTCTGTTTGATTATCTTCTCTTCCTCCTCCTTGCGCAGTTGGTCTTCTTCGACTTCCAAATCTTCCAATGATGGAATATGGTCAACTTCCGCAGTATGCGGCAGTGACCCAGTGGATGCCCGTACAAGCCGAAGCGAATCTCGTGACGCAGATGAAGCTAGCGTACCTAACGTGCTCCTCGAGACGGTCCGCGAACCGTCTAGAGCAGGCCGCTTTCCCTTACTCTTCCTTCTGGCTTTCCGGTCATCTTTGCGAACCATATCATATGTAACCTCATCGTCTAGAGGTATCGCATCCTCCTCCCCTTCACCATCGCTCGGGAACAAGTCGCCCCTGGAGCGATATGAATCTGATGTGTCGCCCGACCCGGTCGTCCCGCTTCGTTTTCGCGGGACGACAATCTCACCGTAGTCGGATGATGAATCGGAGCCCAGCAATGGTTCTGATTCAGCGCCGCCTTGCTTCCCCGGGTGTTCCTGAAGATCCGCAGCACTGGGTTTGTACCGCAGCGTGCCGCCCAGTTTCCATGGGAATTTGCTGAGAAACCCAATGGGCTGCGAACTGGGGATGATGGTCGGGTCCTGGGCGCCGCTCGGCTTTCTCCTCCCGCTTCTTGTCCCATAACTCATGCCTCTCTTCCGCCGTGGTTGTTCCGCCGTCTCTTGCCTGCCATGCGGCCTCCTCTGGCTTCCCGTCCCGGCCAGCAATCGGTCCCAATCCTCAGTACCCCATCCGCCGAGGATGCCGCCTTGTTCCTCCTCCTCGTACCAGTCATCGTAGAAGTCAAAGTTGGACTCGGCTGCCTCTCCGCGCGCGCGCTCCCGCCGTCGGCGAAGGCGCTCCTCCGGGTTGCCGAGGCAGACGCTGGTGCACTGCTCAATGGAGCTCGCGACGGAGCCGAGGCATGGGTTGATGTAATGATGCGAGAAGGACCAGATACCAGCGGCGGCATTTTCAGTGACGGCCTCGGCGTCGTGGGCGATTTGATTCCATCGCTGGCGCAAGCGGGGGTCCTCGAGAAAGGCCATGGTGAGGGTGGTGGTGGTGGCCGTGGTCCCAGTGGTGGTAGCAGCTGCGGCGGGTTGGGCAATCCGGCAGTCGCCTATGCGCCCCAAAAGGTGGACGGATGACGTCGCGGGGGTACCAATACTAATCGACGGGGCCTCTTCCGCCTGCTGTAGAATCGAGGGGCCCGAGATTAGGTCAGTGGAACGGCAAAGGCAATGAGGCTGGTGTCTCCATCTGTGTCGCCGTTATGTGGTGATGCAGACATCTATGGTCTGAGCGTGCGCAGCCCGCAAAAAGCACGTAGGGATGGATACGTAAAGTAGAAGCGGGAAGAAATGCAAGGCGACAAGTCCCCAGTCGAGTTGTGCCACTAAAAGTACGGACAGGAATTCCGTGGCTGGCCTCAGAGCCACTCGCAGCACGGACACGACAGAGCGCAATGCGCCGCAACCCCGTCAAGAGGCACGTGCCTGCTGAAACAGGCAATCAGCCAAGGGTAGCGGGGTGGAACCTCCATTATTTGTTGAGGGTCTGGCCTCCGAGGCCTTCTGACAGCCGCCTATAACTGCCGCTTGAGTTCGCCCTTGCAGTACCTTTCCGCCTGCATCACCTAAATACCAATGAGGTCAGCTTAGTCCGAGCCAAGATACTCGATGCTCGGATAATGTCTTTGCTTTGGCTTCATTTTGACTTCTGCTGTAGCGGGTAGTCTTTTCCTGGCCCCTGGTCTTTGTCACCAGATGGGCTAATGCAGGTGCAGAACAGGCATCCCAAGCCGGTTGGGCGCCTATAAACCTGGAAGAATTCCACGTCTTTAGCACCCCTGGTCAGCAGCGGAGCATTGCCTCTGTCGTATAATTTCAACGGCAAAATTCTGATGAGCCTAACTTCCTGGGAAGTTGGCTCTCCCTAGACCTGCGAGTCATTCTGTCAACTTGCTAAAATCTTGAGAATAGAGGCTGAATTAGCTCGGCACCAGTGACTAGAATGAACAACAATGCATTGGGGTATTTTTATATTTTAGGAACATGCTTCCTCCTCTACCACTGCCCAAACTGATGTATCTCACAACCGGCAGGCCTTAATCAAGACCTTGGGATCCTCATGTTGGCCAACACACGGGCCAGCAGCTCCTCCCTAGTGTCATTCTCACCCGGGAACAGATTTCTCTAGTCAAATTATCATGTGTTAGCCAAGACCTCGAAAGGGAGCAGAGTCTTCTCACAGCTGCCAACCACCGTCTCATCTCTTCCCTCGTCCATTCTTCAGGCTTCCCCTTGGGGTCTGGTTCGGCAGGGAAAATATCGCCGCCCCAGATACTCCAAACTGCTGCTGCGGCGACAGCTCCACCAAAGGCTGTTACAGAGTGCTTGGTTAATGACGACAAGAACATTCCTGAACAGCGCTCCGAGGGAGCTCTTTGGTGTGATATATACCTAAGACCATGTTCTTCCATGTTGAGTTAGCTTATGTCTTACGGATGTATAGTCACATCAGATTGATAAACACACCTTTGACCTCATCATGTTATCCAGCGGAGTGGGCATCTTGTCTAAGGTTTCAACACACACAAATAAGTGTGTTTCGGAGGGTAGTAGATTCGACACTTCTGTCCGAGAGCAAAAGAAAGCAAGTCCAAAACAATGGGCAACTGGTGCTACTTTATTTATGTCTTGTCAATCGAGACTGAAATCTGTCCATATAAGTTGGTCGGTTCAAGCACCCGTGATGACGCCACAGTCCAATTGGTGACGACGTGGTTCTGTCCATCTGTGGCTAGTGAAACGCTCCAGCCACACATCGAGCCACACCTGTACATGGCCCGTGCGTTCAGCCCCAGTGGCAGCCGACGCACAAAATCAACTATTCGAAATCACAATTGACCGAAAATCGCCATCCGCTTCATTGACAAGACCCTGTTCAACCGTCAACCCGAACAAACCGCCAAAATGCCTCGTGAGGTCGCTGATATCAAGAAGGTAAGCTGTTAAATGGGATATTGCTTCAACCGGCCTTTTGTTTTATTGCTCCCTGCTCTTCTATCCCGGTTTCTCTCAAGACCGAAAATTAATTTGTTCTCTTAGTTCATCGAGATCTGCCGTCGGAAGGACGCCTCCTGTATGTCGCACCAGCCTATCGAGAGATGAAACCCTATCGAGAAGAAGAGACGGACAAAATTCCTAACAATTGACCAACAGCCGCCCGGATCAAGAAGAACAAGAAGGTCGGAAACGTCAAGTTCAAGGTCCGATGCCAGAAGCACCTCTACACCCTGGTGCTCAAGGACTCTGAGAAGGCCGAGAAGCTCAAGCAGAGCCTTCCTCCTAGTACGCATCCTCCCCCCTTCGCGCGGCTCGCGTCGACCTTGGGAGAGGCTGGCCGCACCTCGAACCGTGACATATCGCTAACAAAGATCCATCCATAGCCCTGACCATCACCCAGGTGCCCCAGAAGGCTTAAGCGGGAAACGAACGAAAAAAATGGAATCGGTATATTAACAGGAGGGAGCAAAGCTATCCGGCTGGAGGGAATATGTTGTGTTTCGGCTGCGGTAGTGGGGTTTACGTGCACGAACTGGGCGTCTAGGGATACCTTGCATTTCATGTGCTTGAAAAGCCATGCTCGAATAGAGACGAAAAGAAATTTCGAGTCAAGACACTTGCGCCAAATGGCTACCCCTCCGCTGAAGACCGTCAAACATGTTGAATGCCACCCCTTCAATCGCTATTTTCAAATAGACTCAACACGGCGCTGGTTTCTGCTTCCAGTTCTCACTGGCCCTGATTGTGTGCCTGTGCCAACATGTTCAGTCCTCGAGTAACTCTGGGCTTTAATCGAGCCCAAATCGGTAGCTAGGGCTCTCGTCTTTGTGGCTCATACCCAAAGTTCGAGTCAACGCTTATTTTCGATGCTCAAGTCCTAGTTTCGCTTTCGAGTCTCGAGGGCTACTTGGTGTTAACGGGATCCAGTTCACTGACAATTTTCAGCTTTATTAAAAGATTCTCGATATACTCTGTTTCATGTGGGGTATAATGCCAATGTTCGAAACAAAAGATCGAGGAGAGGGCTGCGGTCTCTCGTCAAATGCACCTCCTCAAGGCTACAATATCAATCACAACACCACTAGCCCGTTGGATTGCCAAGTAGGTGCCATCCGGAGACAAACTCCAACTATCACCCGACCCGGCCGTCAACGTTTCTGTTATCGGACCGGCTCCCGTAAAACCCTCCTGCCACTTGGTGACAATCAGGGTTTTGCACGAGGTTGTCAGCACCGTGGGCTTCTTCTCTAACTTTGTCCATATACCTGTCTGACTAGGTATCGAGCCCCAGAAGCGACCAACTGGATCCCGCCATATTGGCCCTGCTGACGGAGCCATAGTCGGGGAACGAGACCAGCCAGCTGTACTGATCGGGGAAGTGAAACTGGGGCGTGAATGCAGGTCGTTGGAATACGTCGAACGGGCCCATGAGACCTGGAAATTTGCCCGGGAAGGCGATCCGACGGACACACACCCCCTTGGCAAAGTTGTAGACGCAGACGCAGATGCTGATCGTAAAGTCGGTGTTCTTAGATTTCCTGTTCGCATCTTTCTTCGTGCCGGGGTCGGTGTGCCTCTTCTTGGAATTCTTGCCCATCTGCCCCAGCAACCGGCTTGATGGGCTGCGCGATGATACAGCTGGCCTCATCCTCCGTCCATTAGAATGTCCCAAGCATAGATTTCATATGGGATAGGTAGGAAAAGTCGCCGCAGTCCTTGTGCAGTCTGAATCGGTGTACCAGCTCGCCTGTGTTCCCGTCAATGATGATGAAGCTGGGATTCTCCGCGTCCTGGTCGACCAAGGCACTAACCAGGTCCCCGTCATATGGGGAGCTGATTTTGCTTATGAACTATGTGGGGATGCCGTCGCTCATGACTGAAGAGTCACGGCCATGTATCTGCTAGAGAGCCATATATGGCGTTTTAGGTCTTTATTGATATTCGAGTGGTAACTATTAGTTTTGTGCTTGGACCTTTGCCAAAAAGACGAGCGAGGAGAATGGGGCTGTTCGGAGCTGCAAGAGCTGGCGAGACACTGGCTACATTTTTCGATATGAGTTGATGTTGGTGAGACTCTGCCAATGGCCTTCCTGGGGGTGTGATGGTCTTGTCTGTGAAGTCGTATCTTGGAGGGGCTTGCTCATCGTTACTGAACATCATGAGGTATGCTTCTGGTAAATGGCTGGTGGTCAATTAATCGAGCCAGCCGGAGGTTTACGTGTTGATATAGCAAGAGCAGTAAGAGCAAGCGGGCTGCTTCTTGAGGGGTTCGCCGTTCAACCAAAGTCTGCATGGTGCGATTGTGGTGTGGCAGTGTCTTTCGCTCTGCGAGTGCGTCCTACACGGGTGCGATGATGCTGAGAATTTACCCGGCTCGTTTCGCCAAGCTATTATCCATTGGTTTTGCGAATTGAGAAAATGAAATAGGTGACATATCACATTGCGCGTTCTTGGCGTTGGTATCGGACGATCCCGGCAGCATAATCAGCCATGATGCGGTTCGGAAACTGGTTGTTCGAGAAATCGCTATCAAAAGTATGATGAGCTGGCTATATGGATGAACATCTAAGTGGTTGTGGGGGTAAGTTCTAGAAAATATAGCTTAGAGAAACCTATACGCGATTCTTTTATTCAATGGCCTCTGTCTTGGAAAGGCCTCCTAGGAGCCATGACCCGGGCTCTGCTCGGAAGACCCGCCCGACTCGGCTATTTAGAATGGCATTGTGTTGCATGGCGGTCGTAGCAGGAGTTCGAGTTGAGCCGCTGCAACGGCGGCGGAACAGGTGCAGCGTCACACTGCGAAATGCAACTGGCACCAAACACGCACAAGTACCTCAGCCTTATGAAGGTATAATGGGCCAGGGGTCCTGGCCCGGATGTTCCCTTTTGCCGATCCACATCCCACCAGAATTGGGTCAATATTTACAGAGGGTGGACATAAACTCGAAAGCTTTAAGTTAGGCCAGCCGCATTCACCTAATTTTTGGAGCTTGTGGGACAGAGATTGGCCTAGGCGACGGCTGATCACCTGCCTCCTCCAGATGCAGCGTATGATACTAGATCTATGCGGGGACTATTGCGTGTCTACTTGGTTATCGTCGTTGTGGTGCTGGCTACAGTGCAGACAAAAGTTAGTTTCACCAAGTGATGGTGTCCCAGTAGCCGGTTCGAGAACACTGTAGCTTCCGACGCCTCCAGGAGATATGACGACCACACTTTGCGCATTCGGCGAAAGGTAGAAATCTGATATCCGAATGACCTGCTGGTTGTGGCTCGGCGATCCTTGGTGCGGCTGCTCGCATTGGCTCAACAGAGACGCAACCCTGTCGCTGGTATCTCTGAGTGCGTCAATGGGACAGCCAAGAGGCCAGTTCTCGGTTTCAAAGGAGAAAGGGGGAAGAGAGGGAAGAGCAAAGACAGCTAGACCAGCGCTGCTTGGCTGACCGGTCAATGCAGCTGGTATGATGATGTTGGGCCTTCATTCGTGGGAGGGAGGTTTGCGAAAACTGAGCATACAGGGGGCGTAGAATGATAATATAGCGGTTGTCGGACGGCTGTCGGAGCGTCATGCTGGGGAAATAAGCCGCGTTTGTGGGGGACTGCACTGAGGGCTGCCGACTTGGCATTCCGAGATCCGGAATCGACGCCCTACACTCATGTACCTGGGTACTTGGGCCCATCGTCATCGACGCAGCACCGTGGCGGTCGTTGCTGCAGCCGTAGCGCCTGTAGGGGGCATAGCGGGTGCAACACACGCCTGATTGCCTGCCTGGGCCTGTCTCGTCTCACCTTAATCCGGACCTGCTCGACCGCGGCCTGCATCGACCCCGTCTTGGTGCGATGGCGCACTCCAACGACCAGGTACTGTGTACATGCAGGTCCGTTGGCACACAGACGTGCTGTCTGGACTTGCATCTTGGACTAGAGCCAGCCCTCTTCAAAGTTTGTCGAATACTTGAACGGCGCTCCTGTCCGCGGCCATTCTGCTCCCTCATGCTCCCCAATGCCTCTGCTCATTGCCTCCAGGTAAGGGCCAGGCGCAGAGCTGTAACATCGACTCGAGGCTGATGAAAGATCTGCCAGCGGGCTGTCGGGGCGGCCGTTTAGGTAAAAAGTGGAGTTCGCTTCCCATCGGGGAGTCGCCCACTTGAAACTAAAATCATCGCAACCGATCGCTTGGGAAAGCGTCGTCGGTTGGAACGCACCACACTCACACCCTTCTTGTTTTGTTTCCCGTCTCTGCGATCCCTCCGCAACTCTAATTCTGCCCTCAATCGCCTGCGAATCGAACCACCCGTTATCTAAGCACCTGCGCCTCTCTCTGCTTGCTACTGCCCAAAACGTCCATCCTCCGCTCACCCACTTCGACCAGCCAGACCGACATACGACTCACCGGGCCCGCGCTAGGCTTCTTCTCTGTTGCTCTCAAACTCAACCTCGAGATATTCCTGTCCCTCCAGCCAACCTGCGAACCAGAGCCTATTGCCCACTGGCGCGAATCGTACGACCTGTCTCCGAGCAACCGTTCAGAGCGATTGGTTGGCGAGCCTTGTGTGTCCATGCGTGACCGGTCATGGACTTGTCTTCGACTTCACCACCCAACATCACCACTACACCCCCGACAAACTCGGACACGATAGCCCGCCCCCAGGACTCTGCTCCCTCGGATCGACAGCAGGACCAGTCGCAGCAGCCTTTGCCGACAACGTCGGGTGCCTACCCATCGCCGAATCGTCCGCCGAAAAAATCGTCGTCCACGTGCACAACCTGTAGAGCGCGGAAGGTCCGATGCAACGGCATCCGGCCCATCTGTTCCAACTGCCAGCGCCTTGGCTTCCCCTGCTCCTACGATGATGAGTCGTCTGACCCCGCCGCAACCGCTGCCGCATGGTCCGTCTCGCTCCCCAGGCGTCGTGTGAAACAAGCCTGCTTGAGCTGTCATAGCCGCAAAGCCCGCTGTTCAGGTCACATGCCCGCTTGTGATCGGTGCCGGGCCCAAGCAATTGAGTGTGTATATCGTCCAACTAAGCGCGCCAGAGTGTCGACGAAGAGCAGCATGAGCGCCGGCCGGAACAGCCCGCAGAGTCACGATGACGAGAGCCACCGAGACGATGGGCATAATAACAGCGATACGGGCTTCCCAGACATTTCGGACCCGACGACACCAAACCAGTTCAACAGTAACGAAGGGTAAGACTCTGGACTCTCTACACACTCTTTAACCCCCCTTGGATAACCCGAGCCCTTTGCTAACATCCGAATGAATAGACCTTCATTAGACGAGTCTTTTGATTCTCTAATCGGTCGGACGTTTGAGAAGTTCTTTCGCAATGTTCATCACATCCCCTCCTTCGATTTCTTGCATCGCGCATCCCTCATGGGCCAATATCACTTAGGCAAGGTCGATAGACCGCTTCTCCTTGCCTTGGTTGGTGTCACAACCTATTTGACAGACATGGGGCCGGGTCTGCGATCGTATGGCGCCCGGTGCATAGATGAAGCCGAATCTCTAATTCTTTCTGACTACGCTCGCCCTTCCACCATCAAAGTCCAGGCTCTTGTCCTCATGATCAAATACCGAATCTTGTCCAACCGGTTTCAAAGCGCCTTCTTTCTTCTTGGTATTGCATCACGGTTTGCTGTAGCTTTGAGGCTAAACTACGATTCACCCAACGTTTGTTTTCTTGCCCAGGAATCCAGAAGACGGCTTATGTGGGCAATATACTGTATCGATGCCGGCATCTCAGGCGGCAACCGGGATTATTCGCTCTGGCGATCCGATAGACTATTTCTAGGGCTTCCATGCAACGAACGAAACTTCGAGTTCGATCTCCCTCAGGAAACGGAGAAGCTCATCCCGGATCCCGATCACCAGCGATCACCACAGGCTGAGGACATTGGTAGTGTTGCGCTTCATATACGTATCCAGCATATACGTCACAAGATCAGCGAATTCACAAAGGAGGCTCTGGGGAATCGCGACGTGAATCCAAGAACCCTCCAAACCAGCGTCCTCTCTCTTCACGGCGAACTCGAAGATTTTGCTGCCCACTTACCTACATCCTTCCAGTTTTCTGAGAAATCTTTACAACTCCGCGCTTACTCCCCCCGAATCTGTGTATTTTTGATGATACATATATGGTGGCGCCAATGCCATTGCGATTTGTATCGTCTCGGCCTTGTCGGACTACGAGAAGCTTTATCGCGGTCTGTTCTTGAGAACTTTGATGAGAGCTTCATTGAACACTGCCAGCGACAATGCGTCGACCACGCCATGGCCATGGCTAATATTTTCCTGTCAATGCAGAAACTTCATGCAAAGCCTGTCGCTGACCTCGATCTCGCTCTTTGCGCGTACCAATGTACGAGGATGCTGAAGTATGCTTACCATGCGAAATCTGGCAATCTCAATCTCACTCAAGAGAATGTCATGGAGCATTTTAAAGTCTGCTTGCAAGCTGTCAAAGACTGTTGCATGGGTACTGCCGCCGCTGGAATCAGATCCGACATTGAGAAGGTCATTGCACAGGGACTTGGGCCCCGAACTTCGCCTTCTCGCATGACACCCCCCGACCTTAACACAACTGCCAACCTGAACAGCCGACCAAGGCCCCCAGCAAACAACACTGCCACTCCTTCATCTCGGCCTTCCCTCTTCAAGGATATTGAGGTTCCTGACGACGGGTTTTCAACAACCACATCCGCCCCCGCGAACCGTGCAAACCCTCCTCGCGATAATTTCCCCCCTGTACAAACCAATGTACCTAGCGTGCCTCAAGCCATCATGACTGACGCCTGGACGCCGCCAACTGGAGATGGGGACGTAGATATCACTCTCAATGATGCCCACTCTGAGACACTCGGTGCTACTCCGTCCACTCATGGACTTGCCGCACCTGGTGGACCTTCAGAACTCAACAACGCCTTTGAAGGTGCAATGGATGGCCTGGGGTTGGATCATGGATGGGATCATTCCCTGGGCATTGATGTGAGCATCTGGGGTGCTAATAACGGCGACTGGAGAACCAACGAGTTCATGAATGGTGGTTCAGGAGTTGGAGTATAGCAGGCAGCAAGCTGTGAAGTGCAGCTTGGTGTTTACGTAGATGGCTTACACACTTGAGAGGCATGATGACTACTGCCTGCAGGTTTTATCAACTAACAGAGCGATGACAGCTATTCCTGTATATACATTTATATATCGACGATTGTACGACAACCCCGGCTGTGGTTGGAAAAACATTCACGGGGAACTTCATTTTTGGGTATTATGAGAGCGAAAGCAACGTCAACATAGAAATCGAGGCTTAATTTTCTTTTCTGGGCAATACACGCATCTTGGAAAGGTAGAAATCCAGTACCAAGTTCATCAAGTGTGAAATTAAACCTCGAGCCTTCCATGGGTGGAAATGAGTCCAAATGTAACGTAATTCCTTCGCATCAAAATTCATCATTATCGCCGAACGCCAGGTTGTAAAAAACAACTTATTTTTTCACCCGGCATGTTCTTCAATCATCAAGACATCGAGACGAGTGCCAGCATCGCAGATGCACCTTAAACCTTGACGCGGAAGAGATATCGAAGGCGGACCTGAGCAACGTCATAACAGATGTACTCGTTGTAGAAAAGGCTGGCGTTCTGGACGTTGGTTGGACCGGCCTTGACGTCTGGGTCGGGCTGTGAGGGAATGGCGTGTTAGTAATTGCAAATATGAGAATGTGAAGATATGGTAGACGGGTGTTGGTCAGAAGCCAGGAAAAGAGAACGCAAGAAGGAAGGAAGAAGGAAGAAGCAAAGGCAAAGCCCGACTCACCATTTTGATGCCCTTGAGACTTTCGTGAACAGTACCAGCGTCAACCCACTTGCTTGGACCGGTGTTACCTTGACCCCATGTGCTCACCATGCCGTTCTGCTTGGCGGTCTCGCCAGCTTGGTAGCTGGCCTGTGTCAACGTCTGCATTGGGTTGCCCAGTTCGGCTTCACACAGAAGGAGCAGGATGTGGCCATTGGAGATATAGGAAGCACAGTAGCCTGCAGACTTGGAGGACATGTCAGCCAGGTAAATACCCTTGCCGAACATGTATCCAGACACGGGCGCTTCAGGCGGGGCAATTCGAAGACCTTGGCTGAGAATACCACCAAAGTTTGTGCAGCGAGATCCGTGCCAAAGCAGACGACGATCGGAATCCATCTTTGCGTACTCCGACTGGTCAAAGCGATCCTTTTCTCCTTGACGTTCAATGCGCCAGATTTGGTCTACCTTGTAGTCGTAACTGTGTGTGGCGCCGCGAGATCCACACAGATATTCCTTTAGAGAGTTGAATTCTACGCTGGAGTGGTCGAGGGTGGTCATCTCGCTGAGGCTAAGACCCTGGAATTGGCGGTCTAAAGGATGTACTGTGTCCATGGTCTTCCGATCAATCTTCATGATCTCAGCAGCGTCCTTCATGTCAGACAGACTTTCGAGAAGTTCAATTTCTTTCTTGAGCAAAGTGTTGTCAGAGATGATCGGGGGGCGATTCCTGCCAAATGCGTGAGGGATAAGAGAGTAGAAGGTGTTCGACAGTTGCTCCTTGTTACCGGGGCGACTGGGGTCATCGATCAGAGCCGCAAGATCCTTGAGTTGCTGGAAACCACGCATAATTGTGGCCTTGCTCAGCTTGCCAAGGGGCAACTTGTTTGCATCGTAGTTCAGCGAGCTCATAGCTGCCGCGAAGTACGTTTGGTTGAAGATGAGGCTCACAAGATCTTGGATAGGTTTTTCGAGAGTACACTCTAAGGGAGCATCTTCCTCTTCTTTCTTGACTTTCTTTGAGTCATCCTTATCGGCATCATCATCATCATCATCGTCCGAGTCGGCATCATAGCTACGCTCAACAAAAGCGTACTTGCCTGGCTTGGGGTCCTCGCCTCGCTTTTCCCAGGGAAGACCAGACTTGTCCTTGAACTTCTTCTCAAAACCTTTAATGGCGTTCTCAAGGGTGCCTTCTGGCAGTGTTGCTGACTGGCCAGTCTCGCCAACACGACCCCATCTGGTCCAGGTTTTGTAGGTTTTCTTCTTTGGGTTATACAATACCTGGAGACATTGTTAGCTCGAGGGTGAAATTTATCGTGACGAGGGTATTTAGAACTTGCCTGAATAATGTAGAACTTGTTGTTATTGTGTGATGCGTTGGTTTGGTTCAGCGAAGCATCCCAGATCATGCCCGAGTCGGGATCCACATAGACCTTGTGGTCGAAGAAATGAGGGCTGTGGCTATCGACTGGGATCTCGATGCCTTTCTTCTTCATGAACTGGCCTTCAGCGACTACCTTCTCCTCCTCAAACTCATCATCCTTTACCTCCGGTTCAGCCTTGGCCTTGGCCTTAGACTTTCCTTTAGCTTTTGTTGCCTTGGGCTTTTTCTCCTCCACATCCTCTTCCTCTTCCTCCTCAGGCTTGGCCTTCGCCTTCGCCTTAGACCTTCCCTTGGCCTTTGTTGTTGCCTTGGGCTTTTCCTCTTCCTCCTCTTCCTCCTTTTCCTCCTCAGGCTCAGCCTTGGCCTTCGCCTTAGACCTTCCCTTGGCCTTTGTTGTTGCCTTGGGCTTTTCCTCTTCCTCCTCTTCCTCCTTTTCCTCCTCAGGCTCAGCCTTGGCTTTCGCCTTGGATTTTCCATTGACTTTTCCGTTAGCCTTCGCCTTTCCATTGGTCTTAGCAGGCTGAGGAGCATCCTCAATTTCTTCATCTCCGTCGTCATCAACAACCTTGGCCTTGGCCTTTGCTTTGGTCTTTTTCTTGCCCTGAGACTCATCCACATCATCCTGCTTTCTCTTCTGGGAATCTGTGCCATTGGACTGGGGCGCATTGGCCCTAGCAGCCCATGAGTATGTGGCCTCATCAGGCGCGGAGGCCTTGCCCTCAGCATCAATCACCCATTGAGGGTCAAGAAGGGGCTTGTCACTGCTTTTGGCGGCATCGATCTTCTTAGACCCGCTGTTATAGTCAAATTCTGTACAGACAACGTGGGTGGTGGTGCTGGTGACGGAGTTGCTGGTGCTTCCGCCCAGTGCGCGCACAAGCTTCTCCAGAGAGCCTTGGGTGTGGCCCAGGTGGTTGAACTTGCCACTGAGAACAATCTTGTAGCCGTCCAACGGCTGGGGTGTGGAATCAGCAGCAGCCGCCGCCGCAGCTCGTCGTCGAGTGGACATGATTTGGACTTTGATATGAATAATGAGAGAGAGAAATATTGGGAGGGTGGTTTGGGTAAGCAGTCCGCCGCTGCCGGAAAGTGAAAAGGGGCCGAGGTGGGATGTAGGTGGTTAAATATGCCACAACAATGGATGACCTGACCCAAAGATTGAGTGTTTGTTTTGGTTTGCCGTTTTTGGCCACGCTCAGTTTCTGGCGAGAAATACGCAACGTGTTTTCTGGACAATTGATTTGTTGCCGGTTGTTGCGAGCTCGGATGAAACGAAGCGAACTACGGGGTACGGAAGGCTGGACGCAGGAATGAGGTGAGGCAGGACAAACACTCTGGGGGAAGAGAGGTGCTTCCTGAGCCAATGGATAGCTAAGAACAAGAAGAGTAGCACGGCCAGTGAGGGAGAAACGGCTGGACTGGGCAGGATTGTTTTTGATCTGAAGCTGGCTGACAGCTTTATTTATGTCTGTTGGGACTTTAGGTTGTCAGCCCACAGGCCAGCCGGGAATCATAATCCTCATGCTATGAGAGTCATGAACGAAATGGGACTGGCCTGGCTGGGCTGAGAGAGCTGGACTCGGGGGGGATTGGAGCTGCTTCGTTTTGGCCTAGCTCGCCTTGGCGCGCAGGCACCAGCGCACGCCAGGAAGGACCAAGGAAGGAGCGAGCCACGCTTGCAAGCGACCAGCCCCTGCCTGGCGTCACGTCAAGTGGGACCAGACCATATCGCGAGGGTGGCACGACATCACGTGTATCCGCCAACTCATTTATTCTGTCGCTTCCCTCCCGAAGTCGGGAGGTTGGGACGTGGTTGCTGCCTGGAAATACATTGATGGAGTCTAAGAAGTGAAGGATTGTAAAGGCGGGCAAACCATATCCTCACACTCAGTACAATGTGCTGTTGCATGGTGTCGTCTGGTCTGTGGGGGTGCCGGAAGCTCGTCTCTAGGCTGCCAACCTCAATTGAACTCTTGATGATAACGTCGATCTGGATCTTGTAGACCAATTGGTTGCCTGGGCTTGTCCTGCAGCTGCAAACAACTTGAACTTGGTAGGATTGCACGTTTCAAGCCTCATGTACTCTCTTCTAGTCTCTGTGTGCTCAAAAACTTAATCAATTGATGGGTTATCAAGTCATTTATTTATTGTACTTAGTTAATAAAGAAAGAGACGGAACTCTTCAAAAGGATCCCTCCATCATCCACAAGTAATATGATTGTATGAATTTACTTGCTCACGAGATAGCAAACTGTCTGATTGCGATGACACCAATATCTTCGATTCGTTGGACCTCCATTCTTGTGCAAACTCCCTGACCCGACAGCCCTCAGTAATTATCATCATCATCTTCATCATCCTCGTCCTCGTCATCGTCGTCATCGTCGTCATCAAAATTGTCGTCTGGTTGCCGTGATTGTTCGTTTCCAGGAGCAAGGCGAATCGTCGGAATTAGGGCCTTGAGGAAATGCCGCCAATCAATGCCGATGTACTTCACCTGAGTCTTTCCGTCGAATTGAATACTAAGAGGCGTCACCTCATTTCGGTGGTCTACTTCTGCCAAACAGCCGATAGCCAAATGATGTAGGTTGAGATTTGGGATTTTCAGAAGTTCCTTGCAGAAGTGTCGACAAGCAACAACATCATCGTGCGGGAGATCAATCCTGGATTCTCTGAGTTGCGCGGATTGACGCATCGTCACTTTCCACAATGCTAGAGTTTCGAGTGTGGGAGCGAACTTCTCGGCTACCGCTAGGTAAAGTTCCGATTCGGATTCCATGAAGCCAAGACTGAGAGCTTTGAGTTTTGGTAGTTGAATAATGCCTTGACCCGCCGGGTCTGGTGTCGTATTGCCCAGGCACTTGAGGAATGGACGAAGACTACCTGTTCTTCCTGTTGGGCCATTGATACGAAGATCTTGTAGATTCCTGGCGTTGTATATGAACCCCTCAAAGAGCGTCTTGGCGTTTTTGATACTGTCTGGGGAGCCCTCAATCCCGTCTACTGTGATATGCAGCTTTTCCAAGCTCTCTACAACAGGGACAACGATTGGTACCGAGTACTTGGGGAGTGCAAAGGTGTAGTCGGTGAGATGGCATGAATGTCTGCAAATGATTTCGATTCCCTTAGGCTTGACATTGGCTCTGCCCATGCAATGAAGAACCATGGTGAAGATTTGGTCTGCGATGTTTGCGAACTGGTAAGAGGAGCTCTGCGAGCCGAGGCTGACCAGCGCACCGGCTTGTCTCAAGGCAGTGGTTATTCCGTAGCTCCTCCATTCGTTAGCGGGCCAGTCGCGGCTCCTTTTCCTGGAGTTACAGTCCCGAAGCACCACATCCTGGAGGTTTTCTAGGTTCCGAAGCGCCTCAGTAAGCATCTCATTAGCAGCACCGGAGCTCCAGAAGGCGCACTGGTTGCCGTAGAGCTCTGCCGTTCGGTTGGGATAAAAAACAATGTCCTCAGCATCTCGCATTCTGTACTCCCGGGCACGCATCTGGACAGTGTGCACAAAAATTGAATGCGGTGGCATGAACTGCTCAAAGCCAATCTGGAGCTTGGTGAGGTGACGGCCCATTCGGCTCTTGGAAATGTCGATGAGTGCCTGTAAGCTGAAGTTGGAGATCATGAACTGCTTGCAAGAGAAGTACTCGCGGGCAAAGGAGTTATGAAGCAGTCCTTCGATTCCCCGGCAGGTCAGACGGAAATTGCCCAACTCCTCGGTTTTCAGGGAATGTGTGATGCGCAGGAGCACCTCAAGAGGTAGCTCCTTGATGAAGCACTTTGGCGGGGTTCCATCATCAATATCCATGGCGGAAGCCATTTGCCTCGCGGGACTTGGGAGCTATGGGATGTTGGATAGAACGAGAGAGAACTGGCCTGATGATTACAGGATGAAGTGAATGCAGGAGGAGGAAGAAATGCAGCGTGAGGCAGGCGTAACACGCGCGGGCGTAGTGTGCGGCTGGGAGGCTGTATATTAACGTACGGTCGGTAACGCGGTCCAGCTAGCACTGTGCCAGCCTGGCAGCCCGTGTAGCTGACTGCTAGCTGTAGGCAGCCATAGCCTAACAGGGGAGGGGTCATCCGTGCTTACGGCCGGCCATCCAGGCGGTAATTCGTGGAGCGGCCGAAAGGTGCAGCGCTGAGCACCCACCAACCACCAGTGGATGGGAGGCGTGTCCTGCCGTGCAACACCAAGTGCTGTGCGAATGGACGGTTGTTGAAACAGCAATTCTCACCCCCTGTCAGCCAAACCACTCTTGTCGTCCCGACCCCGAGGTACACTAGTTGGGCATCCTAGAAGCCCGTTGACCAGCATGGCATCCATGGCCGTCGCCACTCCCAAACAATGCACCCACAGGGTTGGTGGGCTCGCTCTCCGGTTCCCAGCATGCCATTGGGCCAAGGACCCAAGCCATCGATAATCTGCATGCAGAGGGACTCTGTTGCATCCGAACAGCGCCCCTGGACTAAATAAGTCGGGTCGATGCTTTGTATCCCGAAATCACACACGTTGTGTCGCCCTTTGATTCCTCGTAGTGTCGCCATGGCTCGCTCGCGCTGTCCCTCTGCCCATTTTAGCCCGTAGTATCTCCGGATCGGCCACTGGGTTCCGCCAATCGCTGGAGGGTGATAGTAATTGATCCCGAACCAGGCACTGGCTCGGGGGATTCCGATCGTGTGCTATTATCACTGCCAGCACCATATTACCTGTCATCCCTACCAACCTACATAATACTGCCTGGCAGCAATTGTCGGTGACGCGGTATCATATTTGCATGCGGCACCAGACCGCCGCCCATCCCTCTCCCTCCTCCTCCGCTCTGTGGCTCTCCTCTTAATTACGCATCCCCGAGAACTCGGGTCATTTCCTCTGAAGTCGGATTTCAGGGGCACTAAGTACCAGCGGGAACCGATTTGAATACCTTACCCAACACACGCATATATCTGTCACCGCCTGAACTACACCCACCATGGCACCCACTTCCAATCGAATCAACGGGCTCAAGGCGGAGCGTAAGGACTCCAACCCTATGGCTCCGGCCTTTATGGTGTCAGCCCCGGGCAAGGTCATTGTCTTTGGAGAGCATTCTGTGGTCTATGGCAGGGTACGTACGGCCACTGTCTATTTCGAATTCTCACCAAGTTCCCCCGCGATCCTCTCTGGCTAACACGGACGTCCATTGTGAATCAGGCAGCAATCGCGGCGGCCATCTCTTTACGCTCCTACCTTCATGTCACCACCTTGTCCAAGTCGAAGCGAACAATCACTCTGCGATTCCCTGACATTGGCTTCATCCACACATGGACCATTGACGACCTGCCATGGGCCATGTTTCAGAAACCCGGCAAGAAGAAGTCCTACTACGATCTTGTCACCGAGCTAGACCCCGACCTCGTGGATGCCCTAGAACCACACATCTCCGTCGTGTCCCCCGACAGCCCTGAAGAACTCCGGAAAGTCCACGAACGCTCCGCCTCCGCCTTTCTCTACCTATTCCTCTCCCTCGGATCCAAGTCCTTCCCGGCATGCCTCTACACACTCCGATCGACGATCCCGATTGGCGCTGGCCTGGGCAGCAGCGCATCCATATCAGTCTGCCTCTCCGCCGCCCTCCTGCTCCAGGTCAGGACCCTGGCCGGCCCGCACCCCGACCAGCCGTCCGAGGAGGCGCGCCTCCAAGTCGAGCGCATCAACCGCTGGGCCTTCGTGTCTGAGATGTGCATTCACGGCAACCCTTCTGGCATCGACAACACCGTCGCAACTCAGGGCAAAGCCGTCTTCTTCCAGCGCACAGACTACGACAAGCCCCCCTCCGTCCGCCCCCTCTGGGACTTCCCCGAGCTCCCCCTCCTGCTGGTCGACACAAAGCAGGCCAAGTCGACGGCCTACGAGGTCGCCAAGGTCGGCACCCTCAACAAGACCCACCCCGACCTCGTTGGCTCCATCCTGGACGCCATGGGCAAGGTGACGACCACCGTTGCCGACCTGATTGAGGAGGAGGACTTTGACGCCACCGATGAGGACGATCTAAGGCGTGTGGGCGAGCTGATGACCATTAATCACGGGCTCCTGGTGTCGCTCGGCGTATCCCACCCCAGGCTGGAGAGAATCCGCGAGCTTGTCGACCACGAGGGCATAGGATGGACCAAGTTGACTGGCGCCGGTGGCGGCGGTTGCTCCATCACCCTGCTGCGACCGGAGCTGCCGAACGAGCGGCTCAACAAGCTCGAGGCCCAGCTCGAGGAGGAGAACTACCAAAAGTTCGAGACCACACTGGGTGGCGACGGCGTGGGCGTCCTCTGGCCTGCCGTCCTCAAGAACGGCACGGAAGAGGACGAGCAGGGCGGCATGGAGATCGACTTAGAGAAGTTTCTCAATGCCGAAGGTACCGAGGGGGTAGAGCGGCTGGTCGGCGTGCACGGTCATGGTGGCGAGCGTGAAGGCTGGAAGTTCTGGCGTGTGGAGAGTCGCATATAGCGACAACTACTGAGAAAGAAAAAAAAGAAAAGAAAACAAGCACCCCAAATAATCAAAAAGCAAAACAGCAGCGACACCGTTGTCCAAACTGGTCAAATGTACAAACGGTGCCAAGTGAGTATCTGTGAGAATAGCGAGAAGGCGTGGCTGATGATGATGATGACGGGACGGGACGGGATGGTTGGGAAAAAGGCGATAAACCGGCTGGGCTATACAGTAATCCACATTAATTACCTATGTAGACATATTCACCTTGCGGTACCTAATTGACTATTTTTTTTCAAACTATCAGATCTAGGAGTTAAAAGCAACGGCTTAGTCTGGATCTACTTCTCGAGCTCCGCTATCTGGTATTTCCAATACCCCTCTCGCACTGGATCCCACTTCGCTGCCAGCCGCTCCAGGCAGAGTTTCGCCTTTTCCTTATCTCCCTTGGCCTTGTATATCTCCGCCAATAGATCGAGGGCGTGGGAGCTCTTCACGTCCTCGCTCTCCTCGCCTAGCCCTGACACGAACTGCTCAGTGAACTCGGCCAATGTGGCAAAGTCTCGTCCGCTCTTGACCAAAACCCCACGGAGATAGTTCCAGCTGGACTGGTTCTGCGGTGCGAGGGCGATCTTTTCCTTGGCGTAGGCGAGCTCACGATCGATCGTGGCAGCAGACAGCTTGAGATCCGTGGCCGTGGGCAGCGAGCCCGGGGTGGTCTCCTTGGGGTTGGAGAAGACGACGAAGAAGCGGTGGGACCACGCCGAGTTGTTGCGGACGTCGTCCTCGATCATGTTCTGTGCGGCGCCGAGCTCGGCGGGCGTCCAGAGCTCGAGCTTGCCCACGAGGTACTGGCGGTAGGACCAGACATGGTAGTTCTTAGTGTCCTCCTCCAGGATGCGGGAGATGAACTCGGTCTCCGACTTGGAGAGCTTCTTCACAGATACCGGGTCTGACGAGATGGAGGGGAGATAGTAGTCGAGGAGGAGCTGGCGGTGGTGCCAGATCTGATAGTTCTTGAGGTTCTGCAGAGCCACCCTGTTGAGCCATTCTATCTCATCAAGGATGGGTAGCTCGAGAGCCTTGACGATTTTGAAACGGTACAGCCAAACGGTGTAGTGGGCTGGGTTCATGTTAATAACCAGCTGCGTTAGACGAAGGCACCGCTCGGATAGCTCTTCGGTAGCCATGACAGCACGAAGGTAGGATACAGCTGTGAAAACGCGTTAGCTCCTCCAAGTCATAGGATATAGAGACACACGGAAACAGAGGATAAAAAAAGATTCATGTGAATAAAATGTTACGCACCCTCGGCATAGTCGTCTGGGTAGGCGATACGAGCTAGAGCATCTTCAGGCTCAGCCTGAGGAATCGGCACCACATCATCCCACGTCGGGTCCTGGGCGAGCGGGCCGGTGATCTTCCCGTACAGCTCCTTTCGTAGAACCGCCATAGCTGCCCTCGTCTTCTTTTCTTCCTCGACTTCCTCTGCTGGGAGCTCGGAACCCTCCTTGCGCGCCTTGTCTCTCTTGGCGAGGAACCGGCGGTGCAGGATGTCTAGCGCTGCGAGGCGGGCCTGCTTCAAGCTCCGCTCCTCAAACTCGGCAAGCTTGTAGGTGTCGAGCTGGCGCCCCTGTCTGTCCTGCCCCCAGTCGTAGTTTCGGCGCAGGCGGCGGATGGGGAGGTTTTCCTTTGAAACCTGCTTCCAGTACTCGCGTTCGGCCTTGGTGGAGAGCGGCACCCTGTCTTGGGAGACGGGGATGATGAGCTGCGCGTGGCTGTAGGTCTTCTTCTCCGCGGGAGTCAGGGCGGCCAGACCTGCTTCTTCGCAGCGCCTCTGGAGGGTATTGGTCTTGTAGAAGCGCTGGGTGGAACGCTCGCCGATGGTTTCGGGGGGTGGTTCGGCTGCAAAGGCGGGATTGGCAAAAGTCAGCGATAATGCGAGGCTAGGCAGACGAGAAAGCAAGAGCCTTTGCTGTGCGTTGCTATTTGCTCGACTGTCTGTTTACGGCTGGCTTGCGAGCACGAGGTGGAGCATTGGGGTCTAACCTTTTGACTCTGGGATGGGGGCCGCCTTAGAGCTGGCTTTTGACTTGGGTGCCATTCTACTCTTGGTGGGCAGATGCGAGGTTGTCCTAGTTCCCTACCAGGGAAGAGGGGACCTCAATTCGGAGTGTGAACAGCCGCCGTCAATGGCGGGGAGCTCGACCGGTGCTAGACTTGTGTTGGGTTGGTGCTTGGCACATGGGTCTGTCCTTGGCCTGGCGGGAGGCTGCCCCGCCATGATCGTCCACCGGAAGAGATATTGTTCTCGCTGGTGAAAGCACAAACCATGGATAGTTCCATGTAGTAGCAAGGCCAGTGGTAAAACAGGGAGAACGTTCGCTAGTTATATTGTTCCTCAATCAAGATACCGTGCCATCCAAGCCCTCGCTTAGTATTGTCTTTTTATTCTTCTTTGTTGCAGGAAATCTATCTACCTAATGTAGTTGAAATGCCAGCTTTAATTCAAGCTAGTGGCCCTACCACTGCCGCAGTCTAGGCCATCGTCTGCCTCGATGGCTGAGATCCGTTTCCTTTACCTAATACCCCGAAATTCTGAATGTTTTGAAATTTTGGCCCTCAGTGCTCCAAGCACACGGGCTTGTCTTGTGCTCAAGCAGCTCCAGGCCCTTAAACAGATGCCCTTCCTCCTTGACAGATTCGTGATGTGTTGCCATGTTTATAAGGCCCTGAAGTTTTGGGACATGATAAGCCAGCGCTTGGCGCCCCTGGGGGGGTTTCTCTGCAAGGACTCCCAGTTCGGAACGAGGACAAAGGTCTCGTTGAACATCTTCTGTGGTGCTTCCTTTCCCTTTCCGTACTGGACTCTACCCATCACGGTCACGACGATACTCATGCGGGCGCCACTCTTTTCGGCTTTGTTGGCGTCGTAGATATTTTCGGGGGCGTTGTATTGAAAGGAGGGGTTGAGGACGTGGGTGTCGAACGACTCGACCTCGTAGTGGACGCCTGCGCCTTGCGCTTCGAGGAGGTTGTAGTAGTCGGCAGGTGTTGCTACCTGGGCCCCGTTGATTGATATATCAGCTGGGATGGTATATCGAGTGGTTGAATTGACATAGTAGGGAAGAAGCGCGTGGTGGCGGTTGAGCGCATCGTAGAAATGGCTAACAAAGATCTCGGCGGCTGGGTAGCTGATTAGCACGGGCGCGATTAGGGAAGCTGAAAGCCAGATCCTACCTTCGCTCGAGGCCTGGACCTCCTTTTCGGTGTCTGGAAGAGGCATGTTGGAGAGTAGCCGTCGTCTTGCGAGGTCGTCGCTGCACGTCTGCACGGCTGGTTGGCTGTTGCGTGCTGCAATAAAGGATAGCGAGCGTCCTGGTAGTTTGCGACAAAGTTATTTTAGTATTCCAGGCACCTATGACGAAGTATACACAGTTATCGAAATTCACAATTCACACTGTATCTTATCGCATGTCGCATTTTCTGGACCGACCCATCACGATCAGCTTCATGGCACCAAAAACAGAAGCCTCGAGAGCTCATTCTTTAGGGACCAAGAATGGTTTCCTCGGTGCTGCGAAGCCTTCGGGGGCTTAGACCCGCCAATTCTCCAGCCTCCTACCAGAAATTCGCCTCCAGATCGCCAATTCGGAGACCGTGGCAATGTCGTTCGATCTATACCAGCCCTGAGTCACAACCTTTCGCGGACACTGAAAAGCCATACTATATTACGACTCCAATTTTCTATGTCAATGCTGGTATGGCCTAAATGAAGTAGCATCAGCAATCTATACATCGGCTTATACTGTCTTAAAGCACCCCACATTGGCCATCTCTACACCATGGTCTTATGCGATGTCCTGAAACGATATCAACAACTCCAGGGCAAGAGTGCCTTTCTCAGCACCGGCACGGACGAGCACGGAATGAAAATCCAACAAGCAGCTGCAAAGGAAGCCGTAACTCCGAAGGAGCTTGTCGACAATAACTCGCAAAAATTCCTCAAGCTGGCCCACGAAGGCGGCATATCGCAAGACACGTTTATTCGCACGACCAACCAGCAACACAAGACGGCAGTCAGCCACTTCTGGACGCAGCTGAAGAATGGTCTGCCGAAGCGATTGGGTCTTTACAAGAGCACCCACAAGGGTTGGTATAGCGTCAGTGATGAGTGTTTCTACCCTGAGGACTTGATCGAGCCCTCACTCGAGCCCCAGACGGGAAAGAAAATCATGGTGAGCTCCGAGACTGGGAGTATGGTGGAATGGGTCGAGGAGGAGACATGGTTCTTCCCTCTCACTAAGTACAAGGAGCAATTGTTAAAGTTCTACGACGAAAATCCGGGCTGGATCCAGCCGGAGAGCAAGATGAAGGAGGTTAGGATCTGGGTTGAGAACCATCTGGAGGATCTCTCAGTAACACGACCTGCCGCCAGACTAAGCTGGGGAATCAGGGACCCTGAAGACCCAAAGCATACGATTTATGTGTGGGTGGATGCTTTGATCAATTACTTGACAGTTGCTGGTTATGGAGATAAGTGGCATCTGAAGGAGGAGAACATGGGGATCTGGCCTGCTGACCTGCAGGTTGTTGGAAAGGACATCATCCGCTTCCACGCAGTGTACTGGCCAGCTCTTCTCATGGCACTCGACCTTCCTTTGCCCAAGAAGATTCTCTGCCACAACCACTGGACCATGTCGAACCGTAAGATGTCAAAATCTGTTGGAAACGTTGTGAATCCATTCTTTGCCATCCAGCGTTGGGGTACAGACCCTCTACGATACTTTCTTATGCGCAATGGATCCCTCAGCAAGGATACGAGTTACTCCAACGATCTCATTGAGATGGTTTACCTGAAGGAGCTGCAGGCAAATATTGGTAACTTGTACTACAGAATTTGCCGACCCAAGAGCTCGTCCAAATGGTCGACCACGGACGCTATCGAAAGCTACTTCGCGGGCGAGTTTAAGAAGAACGAGCACATGGTTGATCTGTCAGATCCGCGCTGTAATTATTCATCGCTGGAACCACATATTGACGGTGTACTCGCTGTCTACAAGAGAGAAATGGACAACAATAACCCTGCAGGTGCTATCAACGAGATATTCTGCCTGCTTCGAGAGGTTCGTGCTCCTTAGACTTTGGCGCCCATAAGCGGCTGGCCAAGTTGACTTCGGCTAACATTTAGTTCTTACAGACCAATCGCTACGTTTCCGACACAGAGCCCTGGAACATCACGAAGAAGACAGACGTCCCGGAGTTCCGCGTTGTCCTCAACTGGGTTGTATTTAATTCCATCGAGGCGCTCCGCGTAGCGGGGATCCTCTTACAGCCCATCATGCCCACCAAGGCGGGAAGGCTACTGGATGAGCTCAACGTCAAACCTGAACGACGAACAATTCAGTGGGCAGTGCGGGGTACGGATGACAGCTACGGATTCTCGCCGACAGATCTCGGGGTCATGGAGAAGGTCCAGTCATGGAATACAATCTTCCCACCTACGCCGGCGGCCACGCATTCAGATCCCGAGGTGCTGGACATCCTCGGGGGCATCGTGGAGAATCCAACGAAAAACAGGTTGAACAAGATGAGCGAGTGGATCGCCATGGAGGCGCGGCTGGGCGAGGTGGGTGTCAGAGATTTGCTGCTGTCACGAAAGAAAAAGCCGACGCATACGCAATAGTTTCCCCCCGACTTGTGAGACACGGGCCTGTAAGATACGACTCATGTACAACACTGCACCTGGCATGTAATATAAAAATGTATGAAGAGACGGATGGATCTAGGGCAATCTGGATAGCAAGCACCTGCAGAAGACCGATTTTCACTCCCCGTTTGTATTTCCCCGGCAGTGGCTGCACCACTCGAGACTTAATTTGTGCACTGGCTCACTGCGGAATGGCATGCAAGATGTGCTGGATCAGGGCAAAAGTGTGTATGTTTGGCAGAGGTATCGAGCCAAATTATGCGCCAACCCCGTTCGTAGGTGAGCAGAGCAGGTCCTCACTCGCTCATCCAGCCAATGCTTCATCTCTCAAGCTCGAGCAATAAAGCCTGGCCCGTCTCTTCTTCCCAAACCCAAGACAGCTCACGACAAGACAAGACACACAACACACCGCAGCCAGGAACCGCAGCAGCGCCCGCCCGTCTCGCCCGTCGCGCGTGAGAGACCACCATGAGGCTCAATTCAAATACCGGTGAGCGACGATCCTCGCACCCCGTCCCCTTGCAACTGCAGCTACCTTGAGCCTGCCAAGCTTCTCCTCCATCCATCTTACATGCACGGCACCTGCTCACTCGCGAGATCGACACAGCCATATCCACCCCCAGAGTGCTCCTCGTCCCGTACGAGCCTCATCATGTGCTCAAATACCACGGATGGATGCAAGACCCGGTAACACTCACCAATCCCTTGCCTTTATATTTTTTTTAAACCTCCCCCCCTCCCCTCCCTCCCCGCGGTCCTGCCGTTGCATTTTCCAATCCCGCTTACTCTGTGCGCCCGCCCGTTCCCCAACTTTCCAGGACATCCAAGAAGCCACCGCCTCTGAACCCCTCTCGCTGGAGGAGGAGTACTCCAATCAGATCTCGTGGCGCGCGGCGAGCGACAAGCTGACCTTCATCGTCTGCCTGCCGCTGTCCACCGACGCCGCCGCGCCGCCCACCCTCATCCGCGGCGACACCCTCCACGACTCGGCCGACCACATGGTCGGCGACGTCAACTTCTTCCTGCACGAGTATGACCCCGACGAGTATGAGTACGACGACGACGACGGCGAGCATGATGACGGGTTCGACAGCAGCGACGAGGAGAGGGACGGCTGGCTCGTCGGCGAGGTCGACATCATGATCGCCGAGCGCGCCAGCCGGGGCCGCGGCATGGGCAAGGCGGCCGTCTGCGCCCTGCTCGTGTACATCCAGCGGCACGTGCGCGGCCTCCTCGCCGAGGGGGACGCCCGCCGCGGCAGCACCAGCAGCAGCATCATCAGCTCCGCCTCCAGTGCCACCGCCACCACCGACGCGGACTGGCTGGACGTGAACCTGGCCGGCAGGGGCGAGAGGGCCCTCAAGGGGCTCATCGTGCGCATCAAGGAGGGCAACGAGGACAGCCGGGCCCTGTTCCAGAAGCTGGGGTTCCGCCAGCAGGGCGAGGTGAACTACTTTGGCGAGATCAAGATGGCCCTGGATCTCGATGCCCTCCTGGAGCAGGAGTGGTGGGCTTCGGCCCTGGAGGAGTACCACGAGGTGCGGTATGAGCCACCGTCGGTTGGGGAGACCGGGGCGATAGGCCCTTAGGAGGAGGGCGGGGGGGAAGTCTTGCACGTCGAATGAAACGATGGATAATCACTTGCCTTCTTTAAATGTTAGTTCGAGCTGGCACCGATCTGATATGATTTAATGTCACGCCGTCTGGAATAACGGGAACACGACTGGTTAGGATAGTTGGGTGAGGTACACGCACGCCATATCGCATATTTCATTTATGGAATTTCAACACCTGACACTTGCTCTTATTAGACAGCACATTGAAGCTGGAGTCAAGGGACATGATAAAACGCCCAACAACAATCAGTGTTATGCACGCTCATCAGGTCTAAAGTGCTAACTAAAGGGGAAGGTTGTGGAAAGCAGCTCTATATCTTGTATCATTCGCCGTGGCGGTCTCAAATCCTGCCGAATTTTTTTTAAATGTCGTTAATCCAGCCCATCTAAAACACCTTGCTCCCGGAAACAGGAAGATTAGTGGCCTCGGTGAGGCTTTGCCCTTTCTCGGATCAGCTGTTTGCTTGTCGCCTCATCATAGCCGCATGTAGTCATCAAATAATGGAGTCTGTGTTAATTCGATGTGTTAGCCTTTCTCGGTACTGCTTGTTTTCATGCTCAACAGCATTCTGTGGCTGGGGAACAAACTCACTTTTCATCTGCCGTCTCTCGCTCGCGCACGACCTCGAAGCTTTGCTGGCTCTCCATCCAGGCCTTTGCTCTCGCGCTGTGGTTGACTCTCTTGACCCAGAGCCTGAAATTACCCGTGACTGGTCGATGGTCACTCACATAGACCTCGTGTCTTCGGTAGTCCAGCTGCTGGACTCTTCCTCGGCCTCTGAACAGTAGCCGATCACACCAGGCAGGACTTCTCTTCTTCTCGCTCGAATCGTAGTTGTCTGTCCCGACATCGTATTTGTAAGTAGGAGCAAAGGTGATGGGGAGTTCTTCGAAGGCACGCAGTCTGAATGTGGGATTGCGACGCCGTGCGACGAGGAGCTGATCTCGCTCCAAGAGCTTGCTGAGGTTGTTTTGCTTGACAGCTCCCACTACAGTATCGCGGGACATCGTGTCAATTCGATAGTTAAGATCGCCATTAAGAATGCACAACTCGTGGTCCACTACCAGCGTGCCATCACCGCCTCCAGCAAAGCTGTCGATGCGTACGCCAGGGTCTCTTTCAGCAGGGAAGAGGCCCGAGTCCAGAATCTCGGCGATGTCGTTGTGACGAGCACTGGCTTGCGATTGCCCAGCAGCAAGATGGCAGTTGACAAAGCAGACTGAGCTGTCGTCAATCTGGAACCGAACCGCTACCGCACCTTTGTTTCCGTGGTAGCCGCCCATGCCGCGCTTCACTTCAGCAGCGTTCAGGTTCCGGATTCGATCCCGGAGGGATGACTTCACAAAAACACATTGGAAGAGGCCTACTAAAGGCGCCGTATGGAGGAGATGATACAGATCATCCGTCGGAGTATAATCGTCGAGCGTCTTCTTCAAGAAGTCTCTCCAGTCTCGGTATTGGTGACTCATGCGCTCTTGATCGGTGCCTTCCTCCTTCTTCTTCTTTACCTTGAGAAATCTCTTTGCAGTAGCCGTTTTATCTTCCAAATCGACAAGCTCCTGGAAACCAAAGATGAGGATATCGGGAGCGCCACTGGATTTGATCAGGTCAGGGAAGAATTCACCGTCATTGTGCGAGTATCGTAAGCTTGACGGTGTCGATGCACCGGCGTTCCAGGAGAAGACCATTGCTCGAATTTCGTCAAATTCACAATATTCCGTGTCTTTGGACTTCATCTCATCCTCGACCCAGTCATCCTCCAACAATCCATCCCATATTTTGAGCTTGTTGTCAGCCCCCAACGATACCACTTGCAGACGATCAAGTCTATAACAGCTGGCAGGATCTGCCTTGACGCCAAGCACCGGATTGCCAGGGGAATGCGCTTGCCACTCTTTGAGAATGGTCCAAGGGGTTTCGCTAATCTCGTACACGCAGGTACGGCCGTTGTTATAGCCAACCCAGATGCGTTGGCCAACTCCAGCAAGTGCATTGATTTTCCATGTAGTAATGCTCAAAACCGCAAGGCATGAATAGTCAATGGTTGACCAGATACTGACTTTCCCGTCGCTATGCCCCAGATATACCTTGCCAGGTTGCGTCTTGACCTGAGTCCCAGCAGTGACCTCACCAGCACCTTCAGCTACGAGCGGCCGGATCAACACCTGGAACTGGTCTCGGCCATGCAAAGTTGGCGCAAAAATGCGGACTTCCTTTCCTGTGGCATGCCAGAGCTCACTCCCCACAACCATCGAGAATGTGTGATCTCTGGGCACTTTGAAGCTTTGATGAGGATTTCCAGTGACATTCGGCACTCCCGTCTCATCAGGACCCCAAACAAGAAGAGTACCCAGCTCGTCTAGGGTCCACATTTCATTGAAGTGGCGATACATCCTGATCACTTCACGTCTGCCGTGTATCCCCCCTTTGCTGTTGGTAATTTCATGGGTCTCAACGTCGACCTCCATGATTTCACCAGATGTTGTACCAACCCAGATTTTCCAGCCCTCATTCTGGGGATCAGCAGCTGGCTTGAACGCAACTGACGTCGCCTTGATACCCTCAGTATGGGCCAGACTCATGATGAGTTCGCCATCGAGAACATTCCAAACTCTCGTTAATTGTCCACTTGTGCATACGTTTTCGCCACACACATCGAAGATCCTGGGATCATACTTGGTCGCAATCTCCTCAATACCACGTTTAACAAACGGTGCCCTGCGATTTGTGCTTGAGCAATCAGGATAGGTGACGACTGGTGCGACAGCCTCCGCCTTTGGAACTAGACTCTGGTTGGAGGTGGCTGACGGTGCAGGCTTAACAGGAGCTATGGCGGGTGCGAGACTGCGTATGTCTATTGGCGGTCGTTCTATTGACGGCCGTTCTATTGGCGGCCGTTCTATTCTGCTGTCCACAGTACCAGACCGACCATGCGTCCTTGTCGCGGGTAATGGATGCTGCTGCGTCGTTGGGTTCGATGAAGCTCGTCTGGCTACCGTGGATTGGCGACGTTCAGGAATTTGTGCTGAAATCTGGGTTGGAGCTTGAGCGCCAGGCCGAGGCGGTCGAGGAGGAGCAATCATGGAAACAGGACGGGGAGGCGGCTCCATAGAGGTGATTTTTGCTGCAGGCTTAGGTCTAGCTTCATCGAATGAACGTCCATGGCTAACGGAACCATTCCTTTCTTCACTTCTTTGACCCCGGCGCACTGAAATTGAATGATGGACTGGAGGTGGCTCGAAGTTAGTGGCAGTTGATTTGGGTCGAGGGGCTTGCGAGATCGTGCTTCTAGGTCTTGGCCGGATCGGAAGCTCGGGGGGGACCTCGTCATCGCCATTACCGTCCTGGGGGGTAATCGGGGGACTGCTAAAAGGCGAGGTTTCTTGAGCCACATCCGGCGTCTTGGCCCTCGAAGAATCTCGAGAGGAGCTGCGAATGTTGCCGGCTTGATCCACGGTTGTTTTTTCCCTCCGAGGATTCGGTGGTGGGGGCGGGACCTTTGTTTCCTTGTCTCGTCTAAGTTCTGCTGATCGTCTTGGGGGAGGTGGCGAAGGCGCTTTGGAACGAGGTGACCTAGACGGTGATGCCGGCGATGGAGTAAGAGGACGACTAGGGGAACCGGGGCTAGAGGCTATAGATACCGCAGTCTCGGGATTCAACAGACTGGGGTGTTCGCCAACAGGAATGGTGGACGGCCTAACTTTTGGCGGCGAGAGTGGTGGCTGTACGGTCACAGCAGGAGCTTGAGGCGGTAGAGGCTCGGCCTTGGCATTCACAATCGGTTTAGTCGAAGTAGGTCGTGAGGGTAGGTTGATGTGGTTTGCACCAGCGACAGATGGAAGAGCATCTTGGCGAATGAAAGGTGATGGAGGTATCTTGGGTTTCTCTTTCGGTCGCGGAGGGGCTGCAGGTGTCGTTGGAGTAGGCGGAATAATTGTTGGTGTCGAGGGAACCGACGTAGCGGTTTCCTGGGATGGCTTGAAGTCCTTGAGCTTGTTCGGCTTCGGGGCCGGCGAAATCGGTCGAGAGGGAGGCTTCTGAGGTGCAAGAGTAGGGGCGGGAGCTGGGGCGGGAGCTGGAGCTACAACTTGAGTTGAAGCTGGGCCGTCGGTACCTTTGCCCAAGTTCTCGAACCGAGCTCGAATGGACGACACAGGTCTCTGCAGAGGAAGAATGACAGGTTAACACAAGAATCTAGAAGTAAGAGAGAGAGAGAGAGCAGCTACACACCAAAGAAGAGCCATCAGGCCCATCGCCATCGGCCGAAGCCATATTAGTACAAGGTATGTATGAGGTTCTCGTGAGCTAGGTAAACGGCGGGGTTCCAGGTGTATCTCCCCATCAGACCCATGTCTCGACTGGGTCTTGTAAACGCATCAACTTTCATGCAGGGCACAAGAAAAGGGACCAGCCCGATTGTTGTTCGGGCAGGACAGATGTGCTACAGGGTGCGAGAAGCGATATGATGGCAGCGGTTGAAGAAGTCGCAGGAATTTCCAAGGGGGGGGGGTTCGATGGTGTATGGACGGATGGGTGCGACGCCAGTGACGTTTAAGCAGAGCACGACCCCAGAAATTATCCCCGTTTAGTTGGAACGCATACGCTTCGCCACGGATCGGGTAATTAGGCACGTAAGGGGCAGTCTTGCAAATCTTTGTCGTCGTATTCCTGGAACCATTCCCTTGTGTTCGAAACCGGTCGGCCAGCACTTAGAACTAAGAGCACTGCTGGTTGGATAGGATAGTCGCAGGTTACAAGTCGAGGATGGACCAACGGTAAGGTTGATGCCAAGAGATTTTATTTGGCTCCCTGGCCCCCCCAAACAAGAAATCAGGTACCTGTAGTGAAGTACCAGTACCCACTTGGGAAGCAAGCGACTGACATAAAACAAAACATGGCACACCTACTACCGTACGTAGACACTCCAGTGTTGGATTTCAACACAATATCAAAATAATCAAACTCGTAATAAATATAATCTAATCAGACTAAGTATCGTGGATTGATTTATTATTCCCTTATTATTGTGTTTAAGAAAAAACGAGGTCCCTAACTTACGTGAAAGGAGCTTTGGTATGCCATGTTTTATTTCAGCCACTTGGGGGGCTTCCCAAGGTTGCCGCCCGATCATGGTGGGGCGGTACCTAGGCTCCTGCTACAGTGCTACGGCAGGTATGTACCTTTTTAATACCTAGTAGTAGTAGAGGCAAGACGGCAGTTATGCCTATTAAAAGCCAATGTTTGCCGTGCCTCTGGCCTCTGAGCCTGGGGGGAACACTTGGACAGCAACCACCGACATCCTGAAGCATGACATGCGGAATACAGCAAGGTACTCTATACGCAGGTGCCTGGCATCGCCCTGTGCCTGTCTCGTGTTTGCATCCATGACATGTCAGTGTGGCTCAGTCAAGAGTCTAGTTTAGAGCGTTTATTAGGCCCTCAAGCCCCCATCCGCCGCTGAAAACGCGACGCATTGCCCCTAAATCAATTCGAGGCCAACAGGTGCGCACCTGATACTTAGCCCAAAACCCCAACAAAGCCACGGGAATTCTTGGCTGACGCATGTGCCGGACCCGCTGACTGGCCAGCATCTGCAGCGAATCAAGGGCATTAATTCTGCATGGATGGGAAGGTTAATTGATTCGGCCAATTCACACGTAACCAGAGGCGCGCCGGTTTGCGACGGCTGCGTCAATTGTTGATGTGGTAACCGAACGCTGACCGCTATTGAACAACAGAGGGTCCTCAATGCTCGAATGAGGATCTGCCTGTGCCAATCTCTTTCTATTAGAGGCAAGCCGGCACACCCAGCCATAATTATTAGCAGAGATGCGACAGCAGAAGAAAGGAAAGACGCCCCACACAATCTACCTTAGAAAATGTAGCTCGGTTTTGGTCTCGCGGGCTTGTTGAAGCACCTCGCATCTTAGCTACGAGCTCCAGCGTTGGCCGTGCCTTCATCAGCTTACCGCGAACCATGTAGCCACCGGTGAGATAACATTCAATGGCGGAGGCGCTGGAGGTGTGCTACCCTGAATCTTAGCGCTCCGCAATTGTGGGCACCTTAATTCCTGTCGCAAAGCTCCGATTTGTTCCTTCCGATGACCGCATAACTTCGACATCGATTTGTTAAGATTCGCATTGAGAAACCAAAATCCCTCCTGCCGTTACCGAAAAAAAAGTAATACTCTTCTCGAGTCCAATTGTTTCTCTAGCAAGGCAAAATGAACACTGTAAGGCATGATTCATATCCGAATGGCTTTTTCTCACTGGCTGACAAGTATTCCTTAGGTTAAATCTTTCTGGTTCGTTGTTCTTGAAAGATCATGCCACTTTTTGAATCCTCACTGACAGACCATGTTGCAGGCTCGGCTGGGGTTCGCTCTGCCTCGGTACGTCCCATATGCTTCAAGCTTCTGTTTATATTTCCTTTTTCGATTTTATCTGCACAAATCTAACGTATTCGCTTCCTAGGCGGTGCTGGCGCTTACGTTTTCGCTAAGCGAGAGATCAACCGTGAGCGTCAAGCAAAGGAGGAGGCCAAGCGCCTGAAGAAGTACCAGAACCAGACTCTGGAGAGTGTTCTCCAGGACAATGGACCAGCTGCAGCACGGGACGATATTGCAGGCTCTCCAAGCCAAGAGGGCTCCAGTGACCCAGCACCCACGAGGCATGCGCCGACCACCGAGCAGCAGCAGGTGGACGAGAAGAGCAAATTCGAGTCGAGAACACCGTTTCGAAGTCCCAAGGGAGACAGATTCTCGTAAGAGAAAGGCGTGATGTCCCTGGCATGTGGTCACCTACATTAAATGGCCTTGTGTATGATATTGGTACATAAGTTACTTTGATATGCTCCTGTGGAAGTATCCTTGCGGCTTCCAATGTATAACTAACACATTTGAATCGATTTCTACCCTATGTGCCTCACTAGCTCGTAAAATGTATCTATGTAAGGTATATGTAGTGCATCGAGTGACTGTATGAAAGCATGCAGGCTGCTAAGACCTGGCTTGATCCCCAGAACTTGACAGAGCAAGTATCCTGAGGAAACAAACAATTTCAAACCGACTTTCAAATATACAAAGGAAGAGAGGAATTCATATCTCTTTGCTTCAGCTGCCATAAATGAAATATTCTTGCGTCATGATTCAGGCTTGCCTGGATATCCATCACCGCCCAGAAGGGTGCCTGCTTATCTTATCTCGGATTAGAGCTCCAATGCGCATTTTCGCAAACTAAACCACCGTACCTTCACCACCAGGGCGGTTTCCACCACAACACACGCGCCGACTTGCTATTATTCCCAGCAGCCCTCGAGGCATCAGCCCGGAACAACCATCAGCCAGGCATGGAGCACGAACTCGCCATCGCCAACGCAGCGCTGTTCGCGGCTCTTTTCCGCGCCGATCCAACCCCCCTCACGCGCCCTGATGCCGAAGCCTTCCTTCCACTGCTCGACTCAGCTCTTGTCCAATGCTCTCGTTCCAACGTCCAGGTTTGCTTCATTGCTCGAGATACGTTCGTGCGGATTCACTAAACATTGCATGCTTGCTTCCGTCGGAAACAGAAATGTAGATCTTGGATCGTCGATAACATCGCTCTCTCATCCACCCAGAGAGCCACAGCGTTGGGAAAATACCTGGTAGCTCTCGCGTCGAAACCGAGCGAACGCGGCCGCAGAATCAGTCTCAAGAGATGGAGACTGCATATTCTTTACCTTCTTAACGATGTCATTCATCATTTTGTCACTCGGCTTAACAATAATAAATTAGAGTCCGCTTGGGAGGCGCATCTTCCTGCCCTCTTCGCAGCTGCCGCTGGATTCGAACAGTGCCCAAAGCACAAAAAGAAGCTCGACAATCTCCTAGATTTATGGGAGGAGAAATCATACTTCTCCGCGAGCTTTGTTGCGAAGCTTCGCGATGCTCTCGCAAATGGCGTCTCTCCCCAGCAACCTCCGAGTCAATCTATCGGCAATAGCGTCAAGCTTTCCAAAGACACGCCGTTTATCCTCCCCGCGTTACATGGCGACCCCTCGACGCCATGGTTTGACCTACCTGCATCTACGTGGCTTATGCACATGGAGGCCAATTCCACTAAGCCCATGAAGCCAGAGGAGATCAGACCCTTACAATTGAAAGCCGGGCCAGCAAGCGAGAAGCTTGTAGGGGCTGTTCAGGATCTACTTGCAGATGCGGATTTTCTCTTTTCCAAAGAGAGTAAAGAAAATAATGACGAAATAAACGAGCTTGGAGAGAGGATCGTCCTGGACGAGGTCACTGGCGAGATCATCGGCGGAGAGACCTACTACGGCTGGTCCAGGCAATTCTGCGAGCAGATGAAGGACCACAAACGGAGAGCGAAGAATGGAAAGGCAAAGGGCCGCTCAAGATCAAGATCAAGGTCTATGTCACTGTCGGACGAAGATTCGCGACGTCGCTCATTGAGCCCCGGCCGACCGTCGTTCCGGGGTCGTCGATATTCCGACTCGCCACCTGGACGAGGCCGCTCCAGCAGTCGAAGTCGGAGCCCCGATTCACGACGCTTTCGTCGACGCTCATATAGTCGCTCGCCTTCCAGATCTAGATCTCGCTCCCGATCTCGCTCCCGCCCGACACCATCATCATATCACAGCCGGCCACCACCCCCCGCTGAGAACAACTCCATGGGTTTTCAACCACCCCTCCCACCCCCTCCACCCCAACACTCCTTCCCTCCTTCCCAACACTCCTACCCTTCTTTCCCTCCCCCTCCACCAACAGGATATATAGGTCCTTGGCCCCCACTCCCACCAAATTCTATGGGAGGACCACCTTCGAATTGGTTCCCTCCCATACCACCTGTGAATATGGCTGGCGGATGGGGCTCGGCTCCGCCTCCACCTCCACCACCGTCTCATCATCCTCATTATCAGGGAAACAGTTTTGGAAGGGGGAATGACAGGTTCAGGGGACGAGGGAGGGGTGGCTATGACCGTGGAGGTCGCGGCAGGTAAATCTTCGCGCTTTGGCAGCATTGGGAATAGTGTCGAGGAAGCGAATTGTATGGGAAAAGTGTATTGAAAACATGTGGGCAGAGTAGGGAACCCGTCTTGTTGACACAAGTGTTATGATGGTGGATTCTCAAGGGTTAAAATAACGGAGCTCGGTGCATTTCATGGTCTAAGAATACTGCTTCCATCTACCAACGTGAAAAATAACCTGACTCCCATTTAAGCACTCGTCTATACGATATCGACTTTTCATGGTTTCCTCATTCGTCGTCTACATCAGAAAACTAAGGGGAGGGGAAAGAAGCGAACAAAAAAGCAATAGAACAGTAGTAAAAGGGCAGTGCGCATGAAGATCCCCTTTTCCACATGCCAAATCTCCGCCAGCATTCATTCAATTCCACCAGACATAAGAACCATCTTGTAATCCTTGCCGTTTTCCCCCCAACTTTGTCCCCCAGAAATAGGCTAGTATGGGTTTGTTCTTAAAAGAAAGACAGGGCAATTGATAGTAAACACAAACGAGAGAGGTCGTCATTCGGGCCCTACCCATGCGCCAAGCAGTAACAGTTCAAGGAGTCGGTGAAACAAGAGAAAAAACGTAGAAGAGATATGGGTTCAAAAGAAAAAGGTAGCAAACAGTCGCCTCTTGCGCTCATGTCGGCAAAGGCATTCATATCCCCCCCCTCCCTCTACCATCCATGCATTCGTGCTATGATCTCAAACCGTAGCCCAAGTCCTTATTCATGGGGAAGAAGAGTGTTTTTGATCGCTCGCGAGCAACGTCATTGCCATATAGAAATCTACTAAAATTGAATATGGTCACTGCCGCCGGCGCGTAAACCAGAATTATGTTCGGCTGTGGCCTGCCAACAACGGAGCCATTTGATGATCTCAGAAATCTTCGAGAGAATACCGACTTTTTTTTTTGGAGGGCTCAAAACAACCTGGCTCGCTATGTAGAACAGGAAGTAGTGGGCATAGTTGCACTGATGTGTCGTGAACTTAAATATGCAGATTTGGTAGGCTCTGAAGACAACTCATCTGCTCGATACTTCAGCCCGTCACCTGGATTTTGCGGAGCCCACTGAACTTTGGCGCTCATGGTTCCCTGGGCGGCGTGCTGAGGCATCTTGGAGCTTCAAAGAGTTGAGGCGCTTCTGGTTGTCCTCGGTGAGGGGATCAACTTCATCCACACGAGCGAGGTTGCCTCCCTGGGCCCTCCCAGACGCATTGGCAGTGCCATTTGATTCACGTTGTATATCGGCCTTTTCGGCCAGGGCAGCCCATTTCCGCTCACGGATAGCTTCCCTTTCGGCTGCGCTATTCTGCTGCTCCGTGTAGTCATGCGAGCAATCATCAAAAAGCTGGGGGTTAATTTCCATGAAAAGCTTCATAGCATTATACACCATGCCATGGATTGTTCTACACGTTTTGGTCAGCTATTTCATCATCCTTCGGTTATAAATCGCTGAACATACCTATTCCAGTGACCCTTGGAGTTCTCATAGAGAGGTGCAAACATAATAGGCAGAATAATCTCCACATTGTCGCTAACCAGGTTGCAAAAGTATTCGTTGTTCCAGAAGTACAATGCGCGCTCGGCGACTTGAAAATGTGGGCTGGCCACGGATTTGGCCAGCTGATGGAAGAGCGGCTCCTGAACCTTGGCAAACTCGGCCGGGTCCATGACCTCGAAAATGTCCTCGACTTCGTTGAGAAACATGACTTCCTTGGTGCTATTGACCTTGGGCCAGTATCGCAGAAGGCCAAGAACAACCTAAATCGTTAGTAACTTGGCCTAAGAGAGAAGAAGAGAACTAAAATGCAGTGACACTCACATCCTCCGTGAGAGAAGCATCCTTCTCCAAGAACTGGACAATGCAGTACGCGAGCTGAGGGTGATACATGCTCAGGCTCTTAGGCTTGTGAAGAGGAAGCAAAACACGTGTCAAAAAGATCTTGTGCTCCTCCTTCAATGGGAGAGCGAATCCGTTGATGATAGAACCAAGAATTTCAAGTAGCTCTGCAATGCCGTTGAACCTTTCAGTTTCATACGTAAACTGAAAGAATACGTTGTTGATCGAACGGCGGATGAATGATCGGAGATTAAGGAACTTGCCGTAGATTCGATGGAGCGTGGTCTTCAAGAAATCTCGCTCACGAGGGTCCTCAGAGTCGAAGAGTTCGAGAAGCTGAAGGACGAAGCTATGGTCGATGTATGCCTTAGCCATGTTCGTATTAAAATCTTGGCTTTCAATGAAGCGCAGGAAGAACTCGTAGACGACCTGGATATGTGGCCAAGCAACCTCCAGTACAGGCTCGTCCTCCTCTGGATCGAATGCCTCCCCTTGAGGGTTCATTGGTGGCGGGATCGGACGGAACAAGTTTTTGGCAAACATGTCGACGACTCGGGGGTACATTGGTTCTGTGATGACCTGCCTGTTATTCGCAACGTAATCTAGAAGCTCGTGTAGTGCCAGGCGCTTGATCTCCTTTGACTTCATGTCACCGCTCGCATCATTAAAGTCGAAGATAACATTGCACTGGTCGATCTTTTGCATAAAAAGCTCCTGTCTGCGGTTAGGAGGCACCTCGTGGAAACCAGGAAGCTTCTCTAACTCGCGATGAGCCGAGATGTCGAAGCGAGACGAATGCTGTCGTTTCGGCGTCCTCAAACCCTCGGGTATCGCGTCTCGATTGTCAATTCCTCTATGCATCAGCAATGACTTTTGGCCAGCTTTGGGGGGAGCCAGGTCATGAGGCATGGTCTCGGCAGCTCCAGGAGGAGGGATGTGCTAGAAGAGGGTCAGCTACTCGCCTGTGCTCGGCACCAAAAGGTGCCCGAAAGCCCATGATGAATCAGGTTCCTAAACTTACTCCAGGCGTTGGGCTGATGACAACAGTAGGTGGTAACCTCACGTTACTAGGTCCACCATTGGGGCTCGAGGCTCCGCCAGATGCACCGAACCGGTCAGGCACGTTGCCAGGTTGCACAACATTGGAGAGGCCGGAAGGCTGTGAGGTAGAATGATCACCTCCCATTCCCGAAGGGTTGGCGGGCATAGACTTGCGGACATCGTTGAGGGTCGACGTCGACGACGATGGTGTGAGAACAGGCGACTGATTCGAATCGCGGGAGGAGGGGGACGCGGCTCCGTCCTTCGATTCCCTATTCTTCTTGGAGGATTTGCTGTTGTCTTTGCTCCTTGAGAGCTGTTGGGCCTATGATTAGTTAAGGCTTTAGAGATAATCCAAAAAAAAAACGACGAAGAGAGGGATGGCGAGCTCCTTACCACTCTCTGGCCGAGGCGCTTCATCTTGGTCTCCAGGTTGCACCACCAATCCTATCTCGCAGTGGAGTTGCTGCTTCTAGGCACGCTCACAGTGGGGTAGAGTCGAGAGCAATGGGCGTGAACGTGCGAGCGCTTGAGGCTCCCGAAGGAGGCCGGAGTAAATCTGTCGTGCTTGAATATGCTAAAGATGTGGAAGCGCAACGGTCGATTCAGGATGGGGCGGTTGGTCTGAGGGGGTTTTGATTTGGGGGAATTGGCAGCAGGGACGAAGAGGCGCAGAGAGGCCTGGTTGGGCGTAGACTGGGGGTGGTGGATGAGAAGCAAGCAACCACAAGGGGGATAATTGTGGTGCTGGTTAGGTTGCGGTGCTCCGCGGTGCGCTGCTACTGCACTGGCCTGAGCTGGGCTGGGCTGGAGGGATGGGATGATGGGGACCGGGACGGTACCTAACCTGGTAGGTAGCAGGTATTAGTAGGCACGGACAGTGCAGAGGCAAGGGACAGGAGGTAGGTACGCTGAATGGAAGCTCCTGTTTAAGGCCTTCGGGATTTTAGTCAGGCATCAGACAGCGAATAGGCTGTTGGCGTAGGATGCATGAGTCCACTACGCGAGGCACACTAACAGGTACCTGCTCTACCAAAGGTAACTGGGAGGCAGTAGCACGCCGCCGTACATCATTCGTACATGCCTGTAGATCCAGCTGTGGAGAGGAAAGCTACGACTTGCATGGGCTGGTGGTCAGCGCGCCGCCTAATAATAAAGCTGCCTCTGGCGGTTTCAGAGCTGATCAGGTGGCACGGTACTTGGGGAAGTGCTAGTGCGCAATCGCAAGGCGGCCAGGAATGATGGATAAATTACACATCGATTTGTTGGAGAGGCAGCAGAAGCTGGACGCCTTGGCCTATGGCTGCCTTCCAACCACGTATCTCGAAGCCTGAGGCGGGAAGGGGGTGCGCGGGTGGTGCCCGTCCTTGAAATCAGTGGCTGAGCTTGAGGACCCATCCCAGGAATCCAGTGACGCGGGGTCTGGTAAATTAGATGACGGAAACACTGTCTTCAATACTGTATATAGCAGTCTGCAGTGAAGTAATATCTGTTGGCTCTATTGTGCCATTGTCCGAGAACTTTGGAATTACGAAGCCACCCACTAAGAACCGATCCTTGAGATTGCATGATTACATTACTTTCTGAAGCCTGAAGGGCCGACTGGGGTATGACTGATCGTGGAACAGCTCCTCAATTGAGACTGCATACCTCCTGAAGCTGCTGCTGTAGCTGTGGCTGTTGCTCCTGGAAACAACTTGGTGCAAACATCTAACTTCCGGGTTTTCATTGTTTATTAGACCATTTGGTTGCCTCTATACCAACCACATTATTTCACTACGCATTGATTGCTATTGGAGCTGTTTTGTAGGATTTACGCTGAGGTCACCCTCATCAGCCGGAGCTGCTAAGGCGCGCCTGTGCAGATTGTTCCCGTGACTTTGTACCCCCAGCCACATTCCATCACGATCTGTGGCGCAGGCCTTGGGGAAGGTTGGCCGCAGACCATATCTAAGCACGAGATATAATCAGAAGAATGACTGAATTGATGTCAAGAGGCCTTCGGTGTCAACACGCAAATCATAGGGATTTCTTCTCAAGACAAATGGAATGTATGTGAAAAACTTGTGGTGAACTTCGCACTGTGTCTCAACGCTTTGAGCTGCTGATGGACACAGTGTAGATCCAGAGGCAAGCACCGTCGCGAATATCTCTTCTATTGAGAAGGGCTCTCAACACCTCCCCTCGGCACGGTAGCCGGCCCATGGGTCCATTCATACTTGATTTGCTATTCCAATTTTCTTGTCTCATACGTGCTACGTAGCCGAGGGATTGTCATGGAACCATCTAGCGTCGAGGCCGACGCCGAACAGCAAAGTTCAGCCTCTGAACGTGGGCCCAACGAATTGGCTTCTGATGAACCAGGGACACGGCAAAGTGCACCACGATATGCTATACCCGCAAGGAAGCTTGCTGCCGTTGAGATCCCCGCCGTTGTACAGGATGTGGATCGTGCAGTAAGGGCGTTTGGCCGAGTCGCCAATTTGAACCATGTGAGTTGACAGCCGTTCGCCGGACTTCACGAACTAACTCGCATCGAAGGTCTTGGATCCGGACAACCACTCCATCCCATTATTTATGAATCCAGATAGCCCGTTTTGCAAACCTTTGATGTCCCACAATGCCAAATCTCACAATGTTGTTCTCAAAGTCACTGTCCCCAAACGGACAGGACGAAAACGCAAGAGAGGGAGTGAGGGGCCTTGGCAAGGGGATGTTGATGTTGTAGACTTGGCCGACCCTCCATCCTCCTCTGAACAGGTGTCTTCTCAGGCGCGTTTGGATGACCCTAAGCTTCTGAAGAGAAAACTGCAAGAAAATGTGGGCAACTACGAGGTAGAAATCGCGGGCATAATTGAGCATTCGCATCGTTTTAGAGGTCTTGCGGACTTCTACTGGGACATGTCATCGAGGTCAGACTTTGCTCGGAGATATATTGATCAAGTTCTTCCCGGTGATGGTAAGTATTCTCTCGTACTTTGATCAGCCGAGTCTCGCTAACACATTTGGCGCAGTTGAAAAAATGAAGGAATTCAAATTCAAGCCCGGCGTTGATCAAGGTCCGAATGTTGACGTTATTCCACCGCCTGTTTTCACTCATATGAGCATGCCATTCAACTACTTCTATTCTCAAAACCCATATGTTCGGACCACAGAGGATGGCAATGCTTTCAATGCATATGCGGCTCAACAGATTGGATATTTCATAGCCGCTGAAGATCCGACGCCTCAAGGCCCGCAGGTTCCGCCAGACATGACAGATCCTCGCACTGTCGAGGTGATTGCAGAATTAGAGGTCGCCTTTGAAGAAAGACCGTTGTGGACTCGCAGAGCTTTGATGAATCGGCTGGGGGGGAAACTACGGAACTGGAACGAGCTGAAGAAGTATCTCAACTATGTGGCATACCAGTTCAAGGGTGGCCCATGGAGAGACGGGGTTGTCCCGTACGGACTGGATCCTCGAACTGACCCAAAGTATCGGATATATCAGACTCTCATGTTCAAACTCTTGTCTAAACACAGAGGCACACGGCACTTTCAGTCATGGCATAGCCTACGTGCCAATCAAGCCGGAGATGTGGATACATCCCAAACTCATCTTTTTGACGGGGAGACTTACCATACAGACGGAAAGGTCTGGCAAGTTTGTGACATTACAGACCCTCTACTCCGCAAACTTCTGGATAACGCAGCTGTGCGCCCGACTCGAGACAGCAACAGCGGGTGGTATCATGGTGGTATGTGGGCGAAAGTGAAGGCTATAATGAAGACAAAACTTGTGGCGATCCAATTCAAACGCCATCTCACCGACAGAGACTTTGCCTTGACCCTTCGCGCTGGAGACGAGACGCCGGTTCGGTCTGGCGGACCCTCCACATATGTCGTGCCTCTCCCAAACCTGTACTTGACAGACAAGGAGATAACACAGCTTCGGGGTCGTCTTCCTTCCAAAAAGGCAAAGCATAAAGGGTATAGCGTCAGGTTTCGTGAACCAGCTAGAGACGAGGACCACACTGAGGAACCCTCTATTGCAGATGAAGGCACCGCTGCAGGGAATGACAACGATTGGTTGCAGGAGATGGGATCCGATAATGAAGAAGGCTCTGGTAGTGAGGATGGAAGCGAGAGCGAGAACGAGTCGGTGGCAGAGGACTATTCGGGATTTCCTATTCAACACGGCATGGATGAGGACGAAATGACGGGTAGCGATAAAGATGATTGACACTTGAATTATTCAAAAGAGGATATTATCAACTCGAAAGTAAAGCGAGCATCCCTCAAGCCCTCTCTTTAAAGTGATATGTGTTTAAAAGAGAATCATTATTTCCTTTCCTGTATTTCACGGCAGCATCCGTTGATCTCACATTTATGAGCAGATGTCGTTTGGGGCCACCGAATCTCAGGTGATTCTGAGAAGACCGCCGGGTGGCGCACTGCTCGTTCCGTTCTGTACTGGCAAACGCCAGCCACCTAACAGAGAAGGAGCGATTGTTCTGCCCCTTCCCTCATCTTTCAGAAACGCCAACTGCGTCCGTGACTGACTTTCTCCCCTTTCACACCGCATTTCAACCATTCTCAGGTAATTTGGTTCCTTTATTATCTGTTTTTGGATTTCCTTCCGGCAGACTCAGTATCCTCGTCTTCTATACTCTTCACGTCGTGTGCTTTCTTCTCAGATTTCGCCAGTTCAACCAGCCATGGCGCCCGGAAACGCCATAACGCAGGGGTATGGGGAGTTTCAATGCCAACCTTGCGGAGTGTTCTTCCCTACCTTGGAGGCAATGTTGAAACACAAGGCAGAGAAACGCGCAAATGATCAGTACGGACATGTTCATTGCCGATTTTGTGGGATAGATTTTGTTACCGAGGAAGGAGAGAAACTCCATATCCAAGAGGTTTGTGAGCACTCCCATCGAACAATTAAAATCCAGTCCAATCTAACCAGCATTCAGTATCATCCTCATAAGCAGAATCTCCAGTGCCCTGGGTGCGATCAAGGACCTTTCACCCGCCTCGCTCAGCTTGTTGAGCACATTGAGAAAGGACATTGTCCAAGACTCTCCGCCGATACTCTGGACGATGTCCGAGCAAAGAAGATGGATTTTGCCAAAAAGCTGGTGGCACTAACGAACGAGCCTCTGAAGCATGATTTCTCCAGCTACCTTCAAGGCAAGGCTGAGATGTTAGGTCAGCCAAAGATAACAAGAGAATCTGAACCCGCCAAACCCGAGCCAGCCAAACCTTTCGTGACGAAGGCCGAGGAGTGGCCTCGCCTCTCAGAAGCAGTTTTTCAAAGAATGGGCAAGGCTTCAAAGACTCTGTCCAAGGATAAACAAGCCCTATCTTTGGAAACGAAGAATGCTGGAATCCCAGTCGCAGTTCCTTCAAGCCGCGAAAAGAGTAATCTAGATGAATCTTCCAAGGCAAAGACCTCACAATCAGAGAAGAGTGTTTCAGCAACAACAGATCCAGAGTCCGCGTTCATGTCGACTTGGAATCTACTACCAACCCCCCTAAATCAAACAGCACAGCCAAACCAACCAAGCACGAATAAGAAGAAATCGAATAAAACCCCCGATGAGAATGTCAACAACAAGACCAAGGCCGTGGCAGACGCATGGTCCGAGAAAAAGAATCTATTCCCCGATGCATGGGCTCCCCAAAGACCAAGTCCTCGGCAACATGAGCGGGCTACAGCACCAAATGGACGGACAGTGTACGATGCAATGGATCCAGATCACCCAAGCCATCCTCACTTCGATGCTTCCAGGTACTATTCTGAATTTGTTGGGAGATACACGTGCCCCAAAATCGAATGCTCGTAAGTAGTCAACTACATTTCTTATACGGGCAGTTCACAGTTTAAGCTAACTATAATCACTCTGCAGGAAATGCTTCAAGAATGCCAGGGCACTCACCGCACATCTGCTTTCCGTTCATGGAAATATATCTTACAACTGTCCCAACTGTCTCAAGAAGTTCTATTCCTTAACAGCTTTGACGGCACATGCAGAATCCAGTAGCCAGCGCTGCAACATTCGCGAGGCAGACGCATTTAGGGCTTATGTAGATCAACTCACCGCTGGATTAGTCGATGTATCCCTTGAACGATACGAGGACGGTACAAACCAATACGTGACGGCAGAGTCAGCGAAGGAGAAATTCGGGCCCAAGAAAGGTCCAGATGGGAAGAAGCACGTTCCAGGGTGGGACTGATATTCTGCAATGCAATGAAATCCACTTGCGTTGCTATGCCGGCTTGGAACAACTCACCGCCGCAGGTGAACAGTCTCGCATTGCGGATTTCGATGAATAATATACGAGGGGTATGCTTATGAAAAGCTGGTGGACGATGATGCTTCATGAGGATTGAAGGAAGTTAATTAATTAGTCATCCAAGCAGCCACTGAACAGATTGACTGTTTACGCAAGCCAGCTTGCCAGTCTAATCTCCTAGCTGGATGATGCATCTTAAATGTGGCACAGGGAACTGCGCCCCAGCTTAGCAATATGGCCAGCGGAGCCACAGTTCATTAGCATATGTGGGAACAATGGAGTGATTGAACAATATACAATTGGCTTTTTATGAGACTAAAGCTTCCCTATACCGAGTCCAATGCTTGACCAGTAGAAAATACATACTATGTACATAGTACAGCTCTTGTCTATCCAGGTTCCTATTGAATCATGGTCCTGGCTGGGGATAAAAATGCCCGGGGCCGTCAGCGTGTGATTGGCCTGCTCCCGCTGCTAGTGTCTATTATAGGGGGCACCTAGTAGGGGGTCAATCCGATCGTGGGCTGGGTCTTAGATGAGAGGAGGGGAGACTTCTGAGAAGTCAGTCAGTCTGGCCCCTGGTCCCCTAAATTATTACCTACTTTTGTCAGCATCGCCTCTCCATCTTCACAGCCAGTGTGTTGGTCAATTTCCATGCTTCTCCGTCATTCACGAACCTTGGCCAAGAAAGAAGGACACTCGGTTTCCCACTAGGTCATGCGCCTGTCGCCCTGATCGCATCCTTCCCTACCATCGACCAGAGAGCATCGAGCCGCTGCGACCCCGATCCATCCAGACGACGACCCCTGGACCACACTCCCCAAGCGATGAATTGACGGCCGCAACAACGACGACTCCGAACTTCCTCCCATGATGAATCGCCGTTGGGCTCGAAGGGCCGAGCGCGCGTGCTGCACATGCGCCAAGTACACGCCATTGGCCTTCGTCTACGGTATCACGACATGGGCCGTCTGGGTAGTCGTGAACTGCGGTAGGCTCGGCACCCACGAGTCCTGGCTAGGTATGACTGCAATCAATCCAAACCTCATTTCTGAAAGCCTACTATCCTGGCCTATCCAGGCTCTCTGCCCGCCTACTTATGGTGTTCTTGCTGACCCGGCGCACGTTCATACAGGAACCAGCTCGTCCGTCTTCGGTGTCATCCTATATGGCATGCTCAACTGGTGTTATACCACAGCCGTCTTTACCAATCCCGGTTCGACCACCAACGATGACGGATACGGCCTCCTCCCCACGAGCCAAACTAGCCAGAACAACGCGACATCGCTAACGGTCAAGAGCAATGGCGAGTTTCGTTTCTGCAAGAAGTGTCAAGCCCGGAAACCCGATCGTGCCCACCACTGCTCGACATGTCGTCGCTGCGTTCTGAAGATGGATCACCACTGCCCTTGGCTTGCGACTTGCGTTGGCCTGCGAAACCACAAGGCGTTCCTCCTTTTCCTGATCTACACTACGCTCTTTTGCTTCTACTCGTTCGCTGCCAGTGGGACATGGGTCTATGTCGAGATTATCGACGCTACGGGTTTCACCGACACCTTCATGCCTCTGAACTTCATCATGCTCGCCGTCATCAGTGGAATTATAGGGCTCGTTGTCGGTGCCTTCACCTCGTGGCATATCATGCTCGCTAGCAGAGGCCAGACCACAATCGAATGTCTGGAGAAGACCCGATACCTGTCCCCTTTGAGAAAATCTATACAACAAATCCAGAACGCAGCAAACGGCATCCCCCAGTCAGCTCAGCAGTTTGTCCAGGCTCACACCAACGCCCTACCTGGTATCACTCACCCTGAAGAGGGCGAGGAGCATAGGTCAATCGACGGACCGCGCCCACCTGTGCAAATGTCCTACGAGGAACTGGAGCGCACACGCGCAAAGAAGCGTTACGAAGACTATCTCGACGAGCAGGACTCTGACAAGCTTCCCAATGCCTTTGATATGGGATGGAGAAGTAACTTACATCACCTCTTTGGGCCGTCGCCTTTGCTCTGGTTTTTCCCAGTCTCCAACACCATTGGGGACGGCTGGGCCTGGGAAACTAACCCTAAGTGGGAGGAAGCCAGGGACCGTCTAAGACGCAACCGAGAGCATCAACGCAATCTTGAGGTCAATGCCGGTTGGGGCGATGGAAATGAGGAGCCTCCCGTGATTATTCGGACCAACGCCGGCGGTGCTGGCAGACACTATCCCCCCAGTCCTCCCTCCAGTAACGGGAAGCGAACACCTAGTAAGGCCGACCGTGTATTAGGACGGGACCCGAGCCTCTATGCCGATAAGCCCCAAGACGTCCCCTTGAAAAGATTAAGTACTCGGGGCCGCACGATCGAGGAGGAGTTGGATGAGATTGATAACGAAGACGACAATGTCCAACAACGCCAGCAGCGGCAAGAAGCGGAGCACCGTGCCATGGATGTTGTCACCAATGGCGGCTGGGGTCGTGGTGGTGCCAGCGGCATGTTGAGGAAGCAGAACAGCTTCACCAACGGCAAAGCAGTCGCCTCACGCCTCCATGATGAGGGAGTCGACTAATGCATTCAAATTCGCAATAGACCATGAAAGCGTTCAAGCGCCAGCGTCACGAGTTTCTTGTTATGTCTTGCTTGCCTCTGTCTTTATGATGATTATATCCTTCAACTCGCCTTTGCGGAAACATCAGGCCAGGGAGTGCCTGGTCGAAGTACGCGCCGAGGCTGGAGACCTTGAACTTTACTTTTCTTTGCCTGGGAAGGCTCGTCACATGATTAATTCTCGGGCGGACCACAGAGGTTCCCTCAGGGACATCCTCAAGCGGATAGGAGAGGATGAGGGAGAATTGGTTTGTTTTAGAGAGTAACATTTTGATCAAGGCGTTCTGTGTGGTTCCCCTCCCCCCGCCCCCCGGATAGGTGCATGGTGGTTTCTTCTTTCACCTGCCATTTTATATTGTTGCATGGCATTTTCTACACATCTTCTGAATCTTAATCTTTCATCCTTGTTGTCACCGCCTCATGGTCCCTACACCCACCATGAGAGAGCTCTCGGCGGGGGTGTGGGCTGATGTATCTACTAGATTTACGTATACCTGTATGATCAAGATTCCTCTTCTCGGAATACATGAAATTCACCAACCATGATTTCTGGGGTACAGCTGAGCGACCAGAGAGGGGTGCAACCTCGTATGCCGAGCGCCAGAGAGCGAGCGACGTGCCATTGCCAAGTCGTATGTGTCTTGGGAGTTTGTCCACCCAGCCGGGTGACAAGGACCACAGGCCACGATACACCAAGGCGATCAAGAGTGCTCCAAACATGACACAAAGACAACCCACACGTACAGTAATAGCAGATAGAGACAAATACAACCTTTCCCAATTCAAGCACCAAAGCTAGTTCTCATCGAGGGCACCACCAATATCAAAGGAACACCATCCATCCCCCACGGGCAGCCCGCCGCCTCAGTCACCTGCTCGCCCACCCTCCCAGCCGTGCCAAACCCGGCCGGCCGAGCACATTCGCGGAAATGGCTGCATGCACCCCGGACCGAACCTTGGGAAACGTCACACGTGTCTCTCCCACGATGACGAAATGGCCCAGAGAAAAAAACGCTTGGCGGTGCCGTGTTACGGAGCACCTCGAGCCACAAAATCTCCCCCCCCCCCTTCCCCCTTGCCTTCTACGTGTATTATCACGCGTGAAGATCCTCTTATACACGCCCCCCCCTCTCTCCTTTTTATCCCTCCCTCGCTGATCCCAATTCTTGGCCACGGGGGTGCCATCAGTAAAAAAATAAAATAAAATAAAATAAAAAAGGATCCCAGGACGAGAAGGGAAAAAGAGAAGCAGGTGGAGGAGGGAAGGGCGAACGTGTGGTGGGAGGGGAGAGTTGTAGGGGATCTCGAAGGGGTTCAGAACTCTGGGCTGGCGAAACACGCCAAATGGGACTCGCACGCCGTCCGCCTCGCGATTGGCATCGCACATGGGCAAGGGTGAGAGTGCCGGACATCGGTTTTGCGTGGTTGTGCATGTCTATAGTTTCCTTGTCGGTCTGCCTGATCGTCATGAAGATCAGCGTGAGAACGGGACGTAATGTAACTAGACGTATGCTAACTCGACTGTCCGAACTGCCCCTCCCCCCTGATGCGTTGTTGGCAAGGTTGGCCCAAGGATCTACATACAACGGGGTTCCAAAGAACTGCCTATCAAATGGCAAGGCTTTTGGTTGGGGCTGGATCAAACAAGGAGTTGTCGCCACGAGCTACGCAAGCACGACCACTTGACCTCGCAACCATCAGACACTGTTTCACATCTCGGCAGGCAAGCAAGCAGGGAAAGGGTGTGGTTCATGTCTTGTCATTTCATTTCGTTACTTTCCATAAAGACACCTCTCAGAGAACTCCGCGTATGCTACAAACTGATTCCATCTTATCCTCAATGCACCAACCGGCATCTTCTCTTCACGGTATTCTTCCTCTTACACCCCGACCTGTTCCTGCCTCGGCACAGCCGTAGGTTGATGCATTGCAGCGCGAGCCACCGGTGATGTATATATCATGCATGCTGTCAAACCCGCCCAAGTAATGCACTCTGATGACCCATGCGCGTGCATATGTATGTGTGTGTATGCGTGTGCGCGACGAACTCCCTGATTGACCTTTGAATTGACTCCGATTGTCTCCGATTCGTTCAGTTTCCCATGCTCCTCGCACCTGTGTTTTCACAAGACCTTGACCAAAGGAGCAAAGCCAATAATGTAATATACTTCAACTAGTCGATCTCAATTTGTCCAAAACTTGTCAACTGGCGGCGAATTGTTGCCGCTAGTATCATGGTCTCCCATTGGCGTCCGTCACAATCCAATCAGTGAAAGATGAGATAGGAACGGCAGTGGAGAGATAGGAACGGCAGTGGAGAGATAGGAACGGCAGTGGAGAGATAGGAACGGC